TTTTCTGTTATGGGTAAACGTAGTTGGTTAGCTCAATTTGTTGTACATGTAAAATGATCTGTAATTCTGTAGTATGCTGATGTTGTATTTCTATCTTTACAGTGACATTGATAGGAAGTCTTTGGAAGAGAAAAAATGGAATCTTCTGGAGTCCCTTTGTGAGAGTAAACCTGACTGTCAGCTCAAACTGCAGAAACTGAAAGACATTGATAGTGAAATTCATACTGTTTTATCTGAAATCAGAAAGAGGTACAGTACCTACAGCTTACGCTGTTTTGAGCCTAAGCATGAGCATTGTGATTTGACAATAAATAAAATAGGCCTTTAATAAAATATGTACGGAGTATAAATAAAATAGGCCTTTAATTATGCTGTGATGACTGGGTAAATTTTTGACAATAAGACTTTACTGTAGTAATCAAGTGTTGCTTGCTTGATCTGGTTTTGGCTTTCCTCGTTCATACTTTCATTTGAGCTGGTTATAAACTCAAGGCAAATGACTTAAATTTTCTGGTCTTTTTTAAAGGGAAGAGGAGTGTGCTAAACTTACAGGAGAAATGAAGCAGAAGCCAAAAGTTGCTTCTAGGAGATCATATATCGAAAGGATCACTGAGATTACAAAGAACAGTCGGAAATTGGACACAGATGTTGATCGCATTTTGAAGGAAACAAGAGAGCTTAAGTTAGAGAGTAACTCCATTGAGGAACGCCTTCATCGAACATATGCAGTGGTTGATGAAACAATATTAAGGTGAGAACCCTGAAAAGTTTTGCTTGTGTATTGTTTTACCCTCTGGAAGACCTTAAAAATTGAGACAATAAAATTGATGGCATATGTTTTTCCCTTGTCATACAATGTTGTAACTTGGGCCCTTTTCTATTCACTTGATATTCATAGAAATTACTTTTCAAATAAATACTGATTTAATTGATTAAAAGTTATATTACTGATTAAGTAATGCAGCTACTGAAATTAACTGAATGAAACTATTTCACTAAATTTTTTAAGTTGAAGAGAAGATCCTGTTGGTCGTCAAGCTTACAGGCTGCATGTATATTTGTTAGCAGCCTGTAAGCTTAATTCCCTCAAAATGGAAAAAAAAAAAAAATATATATATATATATATATATATATATATATATATATATATATATCTGTAACAATTGCTTTGGCACAAAAGTGCTACCGACTTATTTTTGAGTTCGAACATTTATGTTTAGGGAAGCAAAGAAAGATCCTGTTGGTCGCCAAGCTTACAAGCTGCTAACAAATATACATGCATGCTTTGAAAAGATTCGGGAGCAAATCCTTGCAGCTAATAAAGCTCAAAGAGAAGTTGCAGAACTTGAAGTAAAGTTAACAGCAATTGCCTCCCGGAGTTTGGATAGGCATAAATTGCAAGCTGACCTTGATGCCATGAGGACAGAGAATGAACATTTAGAGAAAACCCTCATGAATCATTAATGTGATCCCTAAACTAGATCCTAGATGAATTTCATGCCATTCTCTGGCTTTTATTTTGGGAGGTGGTGTAGTTTGTGTTTTGTTATTTTTGTATGAAACACAAGTTTGAAGATATATATATTATTTTTTTTTATATGATGCATAAATGAAGATCTTCTCTCCTTTGAACTCATGTACAAGTTCAAGTTCACTTTTTTTTTACTTCGATGATACATTTTTACAAGGCTTCCATAATTGTTGTTTTTGGTAGATTCAGGTTCATAGCAGGAAGCTTAATGTTTTAACTATTGCATACTAACTTCAAGTGTAAACAGCAAATTCATATCGTTTTCTTAACCCAACATCGATATTCTCTTTTGAGTTTTGATAAAAAGACCAGTAAGCTTGGTTGATCGTAATTTTTGCAACTGGATGAATGAAATTAGCCACAATGACCAAATTGCGCATACTCATAAGCAAACAAACTAACTAAAATGCTCCTTGCTGCTATCCAGCATAGGATTTTGCTCATAACTTTTGTCCACGAAAATGTTGGTCCACAACAGTAAGTCAAAGGCACAGTCTAAGGTATTGAAGGGAATTTAGAAACGTTAAACATCTCAGTCTGATCTAGTGATCTTGCTCAGCAACACTCGGAAAGTAAAATGCAGTCTTGTCACCATGGCAGTAAGACCACAGATGCCCGAACAAATTATTAAACGATGAGCAAAATATTTAACCCGATATGGTGCCAAAAAGTTTTCAAAAGGAGCTAAGTTAGAGTTAAGGAGTTAAGAGCACATCCAAGTGATGCTGAAAATACAAAGGTTCCACAAACAAGTTTTTTAAAACACCCACGAAGGGGGGAATCGGAGTTACTACTACTGGGATATGGATTGGCAGCCATCTGCTCGCTCCCTGGTTAGCCTCTTCACCTGACTCCCATGGGATAGCCCAAAATTACATCCTGTTGATATTCATCCCTAGAAATATTACCAAAGTCATAAGCTAGAGTATTAGTACAAATTGTAGGAGGAACAGATATAATACAAATCTGATTCAAAATATTTAGTGTACCTCTTGCATCTTTTGCCAAGATGTTTGCCACTTTGTTCTTCCCTCTTTCTCCATAGAACAGCTTCACATCAGTAGAGTTCCTGAAACTGCAGCCTGCATTCATTCATTTTTGGGGTTAGAAAAGAGTTCCTATTGTCAGTAAGATCATCTGCAAGAAATATGCAGTTTGTCTCAATGTAACATTTTTGCCATTCTCGATCTCTAATCCAACCCAAAGCTAGTAATATAGCTTGCAACTCAGCATCTCTTGAGGATGCAGAGTGTCCTTTCCATTGAAACCCTTCACAAGCTAGTAAAAAATGCATGTTCATACATTTAATAGGAATCATATAAACTCAAAATTGACTTAAAAATGCTGTCCAATTGACCAAATTGGTTAAAAAAAATTGAAAATAAATTTTAAAAAAAAAAGACCCTTCACGACATTCAAGACAAGCTTGTAGTCTTACTTAGCCCTAAACGGCTAAACTTGGTCCCTTAAGAAGTATAAATGTAAAAATATTACCATGTGCAGGCGCATTGGCTATGAAAATTGGGTGGATTTATAGCAGTAAAGAGTAGCAATTTGGGGTTAATAAACTACATGAGGCCAATTTTCATAAAAAAGAAGTCCAAAACTATAAAAGAGTCTGTCAACTAGTAGGGTTCAGCAAAAATAATTGTATTTCAGCAAGATAATTTCATTTTAGTATAAATAAGTGCAATTCTTTTAACATAAGTCGATGAGAACATAGCTTTATGTTATTCTTTGTTAAACACAAAGGCAAAAGCATGCAGAATAATTCTCGATTTTATGTGTGGATTTAATTGTGTTACTATTAGTCCAAAAATAAGAGACCAAAATTATTTAACTGTCATGTGAGACTAAAACTAAGGGGTGACTTCTAAAAATAACTTCCAAAAATATTTTCTTGACTTCTTTTTTTATTTAGATCCACCAGTATGCTGAGAGGCTGCTTTCGAGTTGTTAGCTTGGCTTGACTTTGAATTTGTAGCCTTTGTATCAGCATTATCAGCCCCAGAACTGCGAACAGGACCATCAGAAGTTCCAGCTTCCTGTTTATCCCGAGCAACAGCACCCTGGGAGCCTCTAAAGTGAGCTGCCCTCTTATCCTTTCTCCTGGGTCTGAAAGTAGATCTCTCCCTCTTTGGCAACCAACGCTCTGGGTCTGGTGGGGGGCCGGGATTAGCAGGGTCAAATCCCTTTGGATATCTTGGCTTTCTTTTCCTTTTCATCTTAGTTTTATCCTTGTTCTTAATCTCATCATACCCTTCAATATTCACAAGACGAGATCCATTTTCAGCAGGCTTTGCCCCAGAGGTTGTTTCAAGCTAAGCTCATCTACATTAATTCCCTTCAAACCAGGAAGTGATTTGAGCTTCTTTTCGTAAGCTTCAGCCTTTTCAACATTGACATGAGCAGCAGTAGTCACTAATCCCACCAAAGCATCAACATTGCTATTCTTCTTAACAAGTTCCTCAAACAACTCCAAAGCCTCTTTCTGTCTACCATGCTTTAGCTTAAAAGCAGCAGCCTCTTGCATGATAACAGTAAGTTTGTTGTCTTCAGTCATTGCATTGGACCACCATTTGATTGAATTGTCTAATACAACCTCAGCACCATCAATATCTCCTAAACGTTCTTTCAAGGTAACAATAGTGGCCACGGTAGCAGGCATGTGTTGTATATCAGAGATTTTTGAAAGGGACTCGGCAGCAACTTGAAAGTGACCAGCAGCAGCAGCAACCTGGGCTCTGGCAAGGAGAAATACCTTTGACTTGTCAGGGGACTTTCCAGCAAACTGCCCCAGCACTTCTTCGGCTCTGCCAGCCTTGTTCTCCCTGACCAGTACTGCAGCTTGAAGCAGCACAGGCGTCACGCTGTCTGGAAACATTCCCACTAAAGCAGTAACAAGTTCCCGAGCCTGAAAATTAGATAGTGCATTCAATGCTACTTCATGTCTTTGATATACGACCTATTAAGCATGAGTTGGTGCAGAAATGGTGCACAAGGATATATTATAATAAAAATAAAGAAACAAATAAGTAAACATGTGACAGACACTTTGTTAAAGACAAGACTGAAGTTACCTGGTCAATTTTGTTAGCATGAATAAGCAAAAGAGCTCGATTAACAGACTGCTTCCTTCTGCTTGACTGAGAGTTTTGACTCCAGCGCACGAGCCAGCCGGAACTGGCCTCCATCACCTTTCTCTATAAGCCTATCAAGCTTCTTCAGGCTGTCAGAAACTTCTTTTGGACCTCGAAGGGAAATTAAGTTGTTTGTTGCGATAGCAAGGGACGATTCATCAGCTAAATTCTGTTTTATCATGTTTAAGTATGCATAATATATCTAGGACAGATATTACTTCTTCTTTTGCATAAATGTTTCACAGCAGATATTACTCACTGATCATGATAATATATCTCAGAAGAGATGAACACACTCAGCTATGCAAAACAATTTCTATACTTGGTAATGAACTAAAAATCTTGGATAAATATGAGTATTTAACTTCAAGTCACCAACTGACCAAAACAAAACAAAAACTTCTACAACTCTGATTTGCAAAACAATACATAGTGCCGCAATTACGAAGTGACCCATGCCAGAGAAAATGCTGGCATGTGACTGAAAGTGGTGTAGAAGTAGTGGAGAGAGGCACAAATCAGCAAGTGCTACTGAACAATATGGCCTAGGAATACAAAGATGGAGTTACTAATGACATACATTCAGCTTAAAAGCATGTAAATCTCCTTCGAGCCTAATCAGTAGAAACGGAAAAGCTGACTGTTGTTTGAACTCATAATAATCCTATATTCATTTGTCCTGTACAACATGCATTATCAAAGCTAAAATAAGCCACTCTCTTACTTTCTCTTCCTTTGCACCTTCGACGACAGTACACTCCCCCCTACATTACTTTCTTTGTAAACTATCAGCCTTTCACTACTACTTAATCACTCGGTACTTGAGACGCTTATCACACTTGCTTTCTCCTCATCTTCTTCAATGTCTGATTTATGTTTTGCAAGTTGATTCAAGCTCGGAAACTGCTTCACAACACTTTCAACGGATTCATTAAGGCTAAGTGATGTATAAACTGACATGCCACCCAACGCTGCCACTGCTCCACAAAGACTCGTAGGTCCTGGATCTGAATTGAACAATAGATAGCCTCCTAGCAGGATGACACAGGTCTTGAATTGTCCCAAAACTACATGAGATGTTGCTGATGTTGCCCTGCATTTCCATAAAACTAGTCAGATTCTGTGCAAATTCTTAGCAAGTATTTTGTTACTTTTTCTTGAGACCTTTGTTGCATGAATGTAACTTTAGCCACTTTATAGTAATGTTTTGGCATGTTTTGAGTGCAAAGTGAAGAGTACGTCTATGCCAATGTGACAATGTAGAGTATCAGATCAGACACGGGTACTTGAGATAAAATAATTCATAGAACTGAAGGGCTAAACAAGTACCCGAGTGCTAAAGCTCCAGACCATTGTAGCAGAAAGCCAAGAACAGCAGACAACACAACTGCTGATGAGTTACTGACATTCCAATTGAAGGACAGAACTCCAGGAGGATCAAGCCACGGCATCAAAGCTACTAAGAAGAATATTGTGACAGGAGTTGTCTTCCACATCAATCTGCATTATTAGTTAGACTATCTTTATTAAGTGTCCTAGTTTAAAAACCTTACAAGACTAATTTCGAAGAAGTAACTCTGAATCGATAAATGATGTTTCTTACGCTAGAGCAGTCCAATTGCTCTGCTGTTGTAGATTAGACCACAGTATCTTGTTCACTGCACTAGGAAGTATCCAAGCAACCGCAACACAAGCACCAAATACATTGAACTCGAGATCTGTCACTGTTGCAACAGCTACACCTACTGAAACTATACCCAAAGCCATGACCTGAAACGAACAAGTATAACATACACTTAGCTCTAAAACACACCTTAGTATATAAGTATAAATCACTTAATATGCAAACTTAGCCTTGTTTGGTAATTAAATTTCATAGGTCATATAACATTACAGAAAGCAGACCTTGTTGTAAGATATGGTCTTCCGGAAAAAGACGAATTCTATGAGAACAATTGTTGGAGTTACAGCAATCTTAGCCATCTGATAAAATCCAACACTGCAAAATGAAAAACAGCATGAACAATACAGCATACTCCAGATTAAGTTATGTTTACATCTTCGGGTTTTGGAAGAGGCCGGAGGTGATCTGATGAACCTGTTATGCTGGAGGCTAGTGTTGGCAAGGCCATTGGAAAGAGCCATGACAATTCCCAGAGAAAACAGAGAAGAAAAAGGTGTTGATTTAGAAGGCGGTGAGGCTGGAAGCCAAGATAATGCCTTGAACAAGGCCATCATAATCCATGCTACTGTGTAGTGGATTAATGTTAGGAATATTGGGTAATTAAATCCCACTTTCCCCATCACCTGTAACCAAGAAAGCCAAACAAAACAAATAAACCGAGTTCGCTTAAGTTACAACAAAGCTACTTATGCATAAGCATCAAAGTGAACAACTCATTTGTCACCTCTATAGATAGATCGAGTACAAATGTACAACACACAAACTAACATACGTAACAAAGTAGTAAAACTAGAAAAGGATGATATAGACATGCATTAAAAAGTAATGAAATAAATCCCATCTAACCACATTTTTATAAAATTAATGAGATCAAAGAAAATGTACCAGTTTGTTGGTGAGTATAATCCCAACGGCGACCATGAAATTGAAAGACATGGCCACGGCAGGGCCACAGAACCGCTGCTGTTGCCGCTTGGCGGTTTCTGAAGACGTAAGTAGATCATTGTACAGAGAACCTCTTAGTTCCTCCAGGGCTCTACCTGGTAAAACACAAAAAAATGAATGCAACAAATACAGGTAAAGGAGAAAGTTTGTAAACTTTGTTAATAGAGTGGAATAAAACTGAAACTCAATTCACTTAGATGCTAAGAAAAATAACCAACAAGTTTTGAATCCATTATATGGACCACTTATGATCTTAACTATATAACAAACATTAAATAATGCAAAGATTGAATGTGACACACGTAACTAATTGTGTAGATTGCTTATATACAAAGGGACATGATTTAGTCACACTCAAATACTCAAAGTATAATCTATGGTATTGAATAATTATATAAACTAGATTAGATGATTAAATAAAAATGCCCTTTTTTTTCTAGAATCAGTATGTTCTAATCTGTTTGTGTAGAGTTAAATTGTTGTTTTACGGGAGATTTGAACAATATATACACATACCACTTTTAAAGTGTCGTATTTTTATGAGATGTAACTTTTTTAGGACATATGCTACCACGTAAAAGATCAAGTTTATTGTTACGATCATATTGTATGTGCACCTAGGACCAACAACTCGTTGGCATTAAAATCTAACATTGTTGCATTAAAAAAGGAAGATTGAAGAGAAGAAGAAAATAAACCTGATTCTCCTGCATCACTTTCTTTCCTTTTGAGAAACTTACTAGCATCCCTCCACAGTCCCATGTAGGACTACTACTATTTGCCTTGATTTTCCAGACATGAAAAACTCTTCAACAATTATGACAGTATTACAATAAATAAATTAAAGAATGAGGTTTTATTGGTAAATAGATATTTATATAAAAGGATGAAAAACATTTAGAGATGTTTCCTTAATTGGAATGTTTCTAAAAATAAAAGTATAGAATCAAATTTATTGAATATAAGAAATTTGTTGATGTATCAAAATCATTAACTTAAACAACATTGCTAATTAAGAAGAAAGAAATGCTTGTAAAATGTCTTAGTGAAAGATCAAAATACTGAAAAGATTGTTTTAACAAACTCTTAATTTGTACTCCGTAATGTATATTTAGTAATAAGTTAATTAGTGCATAACCACCTATATTTTTTATTTTACGAGCAAAAATATATGAAAATTTGATCAATTCATGAATGTACTAATATATGATCAATGAGCAACTTACTTAAAACAAAAAAAAATAGAGAAGAAAATTATAGTTAATTAAAATAAAAATTGCTTCAGGTGAGAATGTGAGATTGAAGTAAAAGGTTGATAATAGCTTTTTTTTATTATTATTTTAACTATTATTTACCCCAGAAAATATGGAAGAAAATGCCAAATATTACCAGGATACTAGGTGAACAAAATCACAGTGACTTGGTCTGCATTTGTTGAGGGCATCACGGATCATATTTTACCTGCATACATATTCATATATAGGATAAGTTGTTAATTAGAGGGGAAAATAAGGCTAATAATGATACTCGTATGATTTATGCCACCTAAAGTCTACGCATAAGCATTGAATATATTTCCTATGTTAGCATTAAACAAAATACAAGAAGTATAAAAGGTTTTGAATGAATTAAACAAGATGTGTATTGGATTGTAGTTAGAGTAAACGACGGAGTGTAAGAAAGTTGAGAGATGAGATGAATTTTCCGGTTGATGTTAGGGTTGTGTGGCCAGTATCTAGAAACCATGTAATATAACTCACATTTTCAAAGTATTATCATTCGGAGTAAATTGTAGTAATACATAAATTGTGCATCACACGGGTTTACAGGCTAATCCATTTTTCAATTGTATACAAAGTATGATATATACTCTGTCTTTAAAAAGAAGTAAAAAAGAATGGGGAGAAGGGAAGGTGGGAGGAAGAATAACAAACAGAGATACAATTGGATGATTAATAGAATAAGTTAACTGATTTTTTTTTTTCCTACCAATTACAAATTCTATAATCCACCATGTTTCATCAAAATCCAATATACAGGAGAAATGATTTTCTGATAACAAAAAACGATTTCATTTCATACTTCTCCAAATTCCTATCAGCCTCCAATCCAAAAAGAATGAAAATGTTAAAAATTGGAAGCCATTAACAACTCCTAGTAACTATTCCGAAAGCGTTGCATATCAATGGGGATCAAAAGAGAAATCTACTCACTTTAATTTTCTTTCCTTTTTTTTTCCTTTCAGTTTTTTTCAAATTCAAGGCCACAAATTGTTCTATATTTACACTATCAGCAGGCCGATGTATACTATCTCCTCCCCTCCACAAGGCTTCAAAAAGACCATTCTAGTCATGTACCAAATATTGCTGTGAAACTACATGTTCCAGTTAACCTGCTGTTGTCGTTGCGGCTGTTGATAGGAATTTGAAGGTGGGCCATTGGATTCCACTGATCCTGCCACAGGTTGAGACTGCTGCAACAGTGGAAGACCGGGTGCTGGACTTCCCATGGGTTGCATTGCATGATAGAGAGCAAAGCCGCCAGGTCCAGATTGAGGATTGAGTATGTGCTGTCCTTGTTGAGGAAGATTTAAGAAAGGGTTCAATGGGAAGCTTGTTGTATCTCGACCTGCTGCTGGATGAAGCCAGGCAGCTGAACCTTCACTCTGTTCAAAAAATAGCTTAGTAACCCATTCAAGTTTTAACTCAAACATCAAGAATCAGTATAAGAAGCGTTCAAGACAGTGAGCCTACGTTGAAAAATGCACAAGTTCTGATTGATTTATGCAGGACATAGATTAGTAATCAATCAAGTTTTGACTCAAACATCAAGAATCAGTATAAGAAGTGTTCAGGACAGTGAGCCTGAGTTCTAATTGATTTACAATAACATGGATTGGATCACACAAATATATGAGAAAAAAAATATATAGTGAAGAGAGGATGATCTCAGACTTTATGTTGAGAGGACTAACATACCAGAATAAAATACTAGCACAAGGAGCCAGCCATACAAGTATCAGAATTGGCATATAGGGATATTGGCACATGTTTCAATAACAGCACACCGTAACCAAATTATCAAACTAAATGAACATGACTAAAGGAAATAAGAAAGAAAAAAGGGCTAATTTGAGATTTTACTCAAAACCGAGCCTTTTGATTTCCCCAAATACTAACAATAGTAAGAATATTGTCATATTTACCATATCTACTCAATTTCAAAACTAAAACAAAAATATGCTTTAATGAACAAATACAGAGCTAAACAGAGCATAAACCAACCTGCTGTCCAGGGAATATATTATTCTCTTTTAGGGCAGGTGAGCCAAGATCTTCACCATTACTGTTTCCCGAAGTCGCAGCAGCAGCAGCATTTTGACTATAGGCAACCTGAGCAGTACTGTATGCCCCATAGCCAGATGGCACCCCTAAAGGCACTTGGTTTCCTGTACTGGAACCTGGCTTAAAATGAGGAGAAAGTTTCATTCCTGCTGCAGCAGTAGGTGGGGGTAGATACATATTGCCAGTAGGAAGTGGTTGGGGGAATGCAGTGTGACCATAATACTGATGCATTGTAGGAGGTACATAATATGGAGAGAAGTAATGGCTATAAGGTATATAGTTAGGAGGATAAGGATGACGGAATAGAGGAATGGGCTGGGGAGATACTGCTACGGAGCTTTGCCCAGCATCAGACTGCGTTGGAGGAGGGGTGGATACAGAAGTAGACACAGCTGTAGAACTCTGCAATTAAGAGCCATACAATAGTCAGAATCTTTAAACTAATTCCAAATAGGAGTCAGAACATCATAGTTGGCAGTTAAGCACAAAGGCCCTGTTCAATTTTACCCAAAAAAAAACACAGTAAGAATCAGTGTAGATCTGTACAAAAATCCATTTTTAATAAGCAGATATCAGTTCTTATCAAGACAAAATCAGTTCTTATCAAGACAAACAGTAGCATTCAGGAAAAATCCGTTCCAATCAGGAAAATCCCCTAACCACATGTAACAAGACACTTTGAAATCAGTACAAACAGTTTTAATTAGTAAATATCAGTTTCAATCATTAAAAAACAGTTAGGTGAGTATTCAGGTGAGCTCAACAGAGCAAAAACAGGCAAGATGCAAAAAACAGTCCTAAGCTAATCACATAATCATGGAGTACAAGACTATATAACAGTTTTACATGATTTTAATTATCGTATAATTCAAGACACTTTGAAATCAGTACAAACAGTTTTAATTAGTAAATATCAGTTTCAATCATTAAAAAACAGTTAGGTGAGTATTCAGGTGAGCTCAACAGAGCAAAAACAGGCAAGATGCAAAAAAGAGTCCTAAGCTAATCGCATAATCATGGAGTACAAGACTATATAACAGTTTTACATGATTTTAATTATCGTATAATTCTTGCTCACAGAATGTAGCATGCTTATGGAAAGGTCTAAATCTGAACCAAGGTATTTGAAAGAAACTAGTTATTGGCCCGGGCGATGCCCCGGTACATCGTATTTTATAATTGTTTGATCAAAATTAATAAAAACAGTTAATGTTAAACAATACAGATCATAATAAAGTGAGTGATAAATATAATAATCTATATTATTTTTTATTAATATATATTTGAAATATGCATGTCAAATTTAAATATAGAGGTTATACATATGAAGAGTTTTTCATGAAAATTAAATATTATTATAGAGAATTAAAGTTATAGAGTAATTTTAATTAACTACACATTACTACATAATTCAATGCAGTGAGAAAAAAAAAATGATACACATATGATGATACATGGTGCACATGTGGCACTAAATAATCATTAAGGGTGACACATGGCATTAGCAGGTTGTTCCTATGAGTTTTAATAATAATATATATATAGATATAGATTATGGTCCAAATAAAATCACACCATACTTAAATTTCATATCTCCTTAGATCACAATGACCACCAAACAGACCACTATAATTTCTATTTCAGTCCAATCTAATTTCCAAGAAAGATGGAAAACCCTGACTTTAGTGTGAATTCAAATAATAAGTACAAATTCGTCTTTGCATTTCAATCACTTCTAATGCTTCTAATGATCATGTAATGAGGATGGGTGCTACTGTGCTAGGATGCCTCCAATATAACTGGACTTGAGTTTTCCTTTAGCCAAAAGGACCTAATCGAAAGTGCTTAATGAACCTAGCATTTTCAACGAGGATGGGTGCTAGAATGCCTACAAGGGACATAGGCAATAACCAAATCAATCAGCAACCTTTTGAGATAAAAAAACTTGACAAAGGTCCCAGTAAAACATACCAGAGAGTTTGAAACATGAGTTTGGGACTCAAATCCTTCAGGTTGGGCAAGCATATTTGCCACCATTGGAGGCATGAAACCAAAGGTGTAGCTTGGAGCAGTTTGAACAACAGGAAACGGAGGGCCTACAGCTGGCAAAGTCTCTTGCTTTGGCTGATCAGCTTTTGGAACTGTAGCAGATGAAGAAACTTCTGTATCAATGGGTGAATTATTGCCAGGTAAATGAGAAGCTGGTTGTAAATGATCTGCATGGATTGCCTGGGGTGAAGCTGAAATTCCATCTTGATCACTGCACATAGTTTGAGATAAAAATATAAGTTTAGAGCCATAGGGTTTTTAACTCAATAAACTCCACCAGTCATCCTTTTTAGAAGATACAAAAACACACATCCACATTTAAAAAGACAAAGGAAACTCCATAGCACACATGACCCACAAATATGATAACTAGGCTCCAAAAAAAAATGCAGCAAATCTACAACATCAAGATTCAGCATTCCCTGTTGAAATGGAACTGTTTGACATCCCTTGAGTACACATATCACTTAAGTTGTACCTTAACATTCATCACTGAGGTGTATTTAAAACAGATTAAATCAACTTACAAAATTGGAATGGCAATTAATATGCAATTCTTTTGAGCAACAAAAAATAACTGAGCAGTGAGCACATCAACAGAGTAAAGAAAGAAAGCAAACTTGAAATCAGGAATTTTTATCAACCAAAATAGAAACAGTCATCAGCAAACTCGTATCAAAAGAGGACACCTAATACAAGGAGACATAGAACCCTAACAAGTAGCAGATTAATGAGGAGTGCGGGAGGAGAAGCATACTAAACAGACCGTGAAGAAAGTTTGCTGACAGTTTCCTCTTGAGCTGAATCAGTACCAAGGTCAGAGTTCCCATTGCTTTCAATGGCTACAACACAGTTTTCCCTGACCTCAAAACATGCATCAAGGCTTCCAAAACTCAGTACATTTTTCACTGCATCAGGAACTTGGATATGCTGCGGTATGATGACATGTTCACCATCAGAGAATTTTAACTTCTCTAGCTTTGTGGTTGTACCCTTTACACCTGAAATATTTAAAATCACTTATTGAGAAACACCATAAACAAAAACTGCTACAGTGTCATTGATCAACCATGTCTTTCATAAGATCTAGTTTATGGCGCCAAGCAAAGTCCATAACTTGGAATGTTTCTCTTAAAGCATTTCAGCTCTAACATCATACAGTATAATCAGTCAAACCATAAGATATATAATTATATACCAGATCAGGACAAAACATGTTAATGGAGGTTTGGGGGAAAATAGAGATGAGCAAATTCATGAATCAAATGCATTATCATATAATCAGCAAGTACTAAAATCATCGAACAAGAATATGCAAGCATCCAAAACAGGCCAAAGGTGGCTTCGAAGTAAACATCTAATTATGAAGAAACATAAAGTCAGCCAAGCATTAGAAAAGTATCATTAACAAATAAATAAAAATTTAAGTCTTTGAGCCTTAACAATTGCCTCCGAAAAGGCCATGCACAAACTTAAGCAGAGCAGCATTAAGTGCAGACTGAGCAGACCTGCACACACTCAAGTAGGGCATTATGATGTGCCCAGAGGCCAAAGTCAAAGTTTTTTAAGGTCTACAGACCAAAGCCAGTCAGACATGGATGGCCATCAAGCGGTAAGAAAGCACGAGATATGTTACAGTGTCTTCGCCACATCAAGAAAACATAACTGCATTGAAACACTGGCTAGAATTTCCGATTGTTGAAGCACTTAACAATTGTCATAGAAAGCACATAAATAAAGATTGAAGTAATTATATATGGGAGAAGTGGTGATATATGATAGGAGAGGGAGAAAGGGAGAGGGAGAGAGCAACAAATTTATTTGATGGGTCAATACCTTGTCGTGAGGAAGGCTTGACAACAGTAACACTGTCAGAAACATGACTCTTATCAGCTGAAGGGCATTCACCCAATATTTTTGGATGTGCAACTTCTACAACTTCAAACAGCTGCTTTTCACTTGAAGATGAAGATGCCTGAGAACTGTCAACATTTTGGGGTTCATGCTGGTTCAGATGATTTCCTCTATCAGCAAGATCAGTACATGTGTCAGCAGACATATGTTGAATTCCCACTTCCCGTTTAATCGAACCATCTGTAGTAATTGGCAAATCACATGGGGGCACCAGCACAGGATCTGAAGCAGAGGGTGCATTTTCAGCATTAGCCTTGGGCATTACACTACCTGCATTGTCTGCACTAGCATCAATTTTTTTGTCGGATGGGTAGGTTGACTGGCCACCATGGCTCCCACTGAGGGTACCATTAGACAGCTCTAGTGGCCCATTCACAATGGAAGACGACCTGCACGGATAGCTACAAATTAAAAATGGAAGAATTTTCTAAATGCATTCCTGACATGATAGAAAAAATAGCTTTAACTGGTGGCCCCAAGGTAGTCTGGTAAGCCTAAAAGTTATTTACTTCTCTAGATTGCGTAATTGAATAGAGTCTGCTCCCTTGGAAATAGGCGGAGGAGGATGCCTGAAACCTCTCACTCTACTCTCTTCTACTCCATTCTCCTTGTGTATGGCAGAAAACCTCTGACCCCCAGCATCTAGCATCAACAGGAAAGAAACAAGGAGACATTAGCAACCAGCAGAGATCTTAAGGTTAAGAAGAGGTAGAGTATTCCACAAATTTCATCAATTTGAAAATGTATAAGCATATTAAAAAAACGCATTTAGCTTCTCTACAAGAGTATATTAGTTTAATCATTCAGTTATTCTCTAAATATCACTTCTTATTTTCAAAATATATTAATCACCTCCATTCTCCTTGCGTATGGCAGCTGTCCTCTGACCCCCAGCATCTAGCATCAACAGGAATGAAGCATCCAAGCAGAGACCATAAGATTAAGAAGAGATAGGGAATTCCACAAAATTCATCAATTTAACAAGATTAAAAACGCATTTAGCTTCTCTACTAGAGTATCTTAGTTTAATCATTCAGTTATTCTCTTAATATCGCTTCTTATTTTCAAAATATATTAATTACCTCCATTCTCCTTGCGTATGGCAGCTGTTCTCTGACCCCCAACATCTAGCATAAACAGGAAATAAACAAGGAGACATTAGCATCCAAGCATAGATCAATAGGTTAAAAAGAGAGAGGGTATTCCACAAAATTCATCAATGTGAAACTGTAAAACCATTTTCAACTAGATAATTAACGCATTTAGCTTCTCTATTAGAATATCTTAAGCTTAATAGATCAGTAATTGTCTAAATATCGCTTTTTACTTTCAAAATATATTAGTTACCTCCTCTCCACCCCCACCAGAAGAGTGGAAAATGAGCAGCCAAATAAAAAAAGCAGAAGAATAAGTGGACAGAAAATACTATTTCGTATTTTTCAGAATCCTTAAGAAAGTACTCCATTATAAGTTAAGGTTTTTCTTGACTTCCCTACGAGGCTACGACACCAAAAGAATTTTACAAGATACACAGATTACACAATATCAGGAACAATATTCTTCTGTTCAAACTTGTGCATACAGCAAAGATATTTGTGTCAGTATTCACTTTGTATTCTCATTATAACTACACTCCAAACTTCATATACAATAAGAAATGCAAATCCAAGCACCTACATCTCTCAGGAAACTTGAACTTCTCTCAATGGAGTTACAAGACAATCACGGAAAAGGTGGACACTGAAATGGAAGGGAAAAAAAAAAAAAAAAAAAAACCACAAGGACTAGGAACAGCAATATTCCCAGAAATTATATATTGGATGTCAGACTACCTAAAACCCTGCATTTCAGCAAACCACCATTAACTGAGTTGGCTTGAGGACAGTTTTGAAGTGTACACAGTGTCATAATGCATGTGAGACTGTGAGAGCATACAAGTGCACCTACTGCACAAGTGCACATCTACTAATGTGTGTGCATAATCACTAATCAGATGCTATTTTAGATTGGAGCAAAATCAGAATATTAAGTAGAGAAGGGCATTAAAAAAAGTACCATTAGAAATATACTGAGAAAAAGAGTTCCCTCGAGCATTCCTAGTCCCTCGCCCTTGTTGACCAGGTTTCCACCTAGAATCTTCACCTGGTCTGCTCTTCACTGTCTGCAACTATACATTTGGAAAAAAAAAATCAAGATTTACTAAAAAAAAACAGTAAACACGTGTATAAAGGATCAGCAAGAACCTCATACATTGTATTCCATAATATGCAACAATCTTCTAGAAAATTCAATTACACAATTGATATTTTCTCCATTTAGAAGGACAGAGGAAGACTTTATTTTTTAAGTAACCACAGCGAATCAATTTCACTAAAACTTAGGTCCATTTGATCTGTGTTGAACTCCGATGTATTTAAATGATTTAATGTCATCAAACAGACACCAATTATTTAGTGAAGCACATTCCCTACATATTGATTGGTATAATCTCATTAGTCCTCAAGTGTTGCAGAAGAGCAAACAGCTAAATCTTGCCCAAATTAAAGCATGGTGGAAAATAAACAAAAATTGGCATAACAAAGCAATCAATGAATCAATGCATCAGACCGATCAAGGTAGTACTTAGTAAACCTCAGTCAAACAACATAGCACAGCAATATAGTAAAGGTTTTGTTTTTTAGCTTACCGTGACCTTAACATTAGGCCACGAAAACTGCAAACCATCTGCACTGCCCGCAAAAGTGGTTTTAAAATCATGACCAAATCTAAGATCTAAAACACCACTATAAATTGACCAAAAACCAATTTTGAAATTATGACAGAAATTCAGAACATTTGCCTCTTTATAGGTAGCAATACAGTAAGCAACTTAATAAAGATTGTACATGCTAAATTACATGTCACAGATGGATGAGTAGTGAATACCTCCTTTCTCTTATCCCGCTTCCTTTTCACCTCATGAAACGTATCTGCAAAACCAATAGATTGTTACAATACTAGTTAATAACTTTGTACATACCTTAGAAATCTGTATAACAATAATTCCTGAACTAGAAGCACATCACACATACATCACACACACACACACCCCATTACCACCACCACCTCAACCAAACCATGATTGACACACTAAAATGTACAGCAAATTCCGCTTCAACTTTAAAAAAGGCAATCATCCCACCTATGAGATAACCCCCCCACCCCAACGAACAACCTTCCTGAATTCGATCCAAATCCGTCCCGTGGACTGAATTACCTTATCCTTGCTTCCAAGTATTTTTGCCACCACAACCAAAGCAATTGGTCGGATTTAAGTCAAGCGGCATACCATTCCCAAAAATTTAACATTTTTTCTCTTAATTAATCAATGGAGTTAAAAATCAACACCTATACTACACATATCCAGCAAAACCCACAAAAAAGGGCAATGAAACTAAAACTCAAACCCTACCAATCACCCACAAAAGCAAAATAAAAAGGGGGCAATCAAACATAAAGTACGAAAAACAGCATAAAACCAAAAACCCATTACATAAATCATCAAAATGCATCAACCCACAAAAACCCCAGAAAAATAAGGCATAATCTCAATAAATTAAAGTACAAAAAAAAAACAAAAAACAGGGGGAAAAATGGGGAAAAAAGAGAGAGAAAAAGGAAGTAAACCAAGATGAAGGAGTCTCTGAGTGGTTTCGTTAGGATCCATAGAACAGTCTTTAAGCATAGAATAGATGTCTTCTTCGCTGTGATTACTGGTGATCTCTTTGATATGCTGAATGGTTTTGCGGACATTGTTAGGGATCGAAACCCTTGAAGAAGAAGATGAAGAAGACGAAGAAGGAGAGGAGGCGCCGCTGTTGTTGCTCATTGTTTGGTGTTGGTTGAAGCTCAGACAGGAGAAACACAGAGAGAGAAACAGAAAGAGGAGAGAGAAAGTAAGAATGGGAGATTTTGAAGAGGGAGATTTTCATTTTAATTATTTTATTACATTATATAAGGAAAATATTTTGAGCATAATTAAATGTTAATTGGACTAATTCTTTTACTGTTGAAATATGTAAATGGTAAATATGTAGACAAGATTAAAAAAATTTAACTCAGTTATTGAAGAATTATTATTTGATTTACAACAATTTTAAGCAATATTTCACTAATTGAATTTCTTTATACATGATTTTAATTTTTAATTACCGGCTATTTAGTCTGTCAAAAGCCACACTAATTATCTTGATTTTTTTTTCTTTTTTTGAAAAATAGGATTATTCAATGTAAAAATTAAGATATCAATTATTTTACAAGTAATTGTTTCTCTCTTATTAATTTTTACAAATACGGTAATTTAGTCATTTTTTCCAATTTGGAAGAAGAAAAAGGGTTGAATAGAATGTAAACAAATGTTCCCAATTAGTTATATGTGCCAACTCATCAGCACAGAGGGAATATTAAGTAAGATGACAAGTGTCTCTAAAAAGTATATGTGACATGTTACGTCACTTTTGTATTCGCTGTAACACGTATTTTACAGTTATATATGACAGCCTAATACTTTATTGACTTCCAGCCTAATACTTACTTAAGCATTAATAGAGTGTTATACAGTTGTAAATGACAGCCTAATACTTAATTAAGCATTAATGGAGTACTGACATGTGTTTAATTTCCATTAACCATAACAAATATGCTACGTGTCACCTTTGTATTCGTTCTAACACGTATTATATAGTTTTATATGACAGCCTGACACTTTTTTTTTTTTTTTTACTTCCAGCCTAATACTTACCTAAGCATTAATGGAGTGTTATTAAGTTATGCAGTTATAAATGACAGCCTAATACTTACTTAAGCATGAATGGAATGCTAACATGTGTTTCCATTAACCATGACATATTACGTGTTACCTTTGTATTCGTTCAAACACGTATTATACAGTTATATATGACAGTCTAATACTTACTTTTTTTTACTTCCAGTTTAATACTTACTTAAGTATTAATGGAGTGTTATTAAGTTATACAATTATAAACGACAGCATACTACTTACTTAAGGATGAATGGAGTGCTAACATGTGTTTTCATAAAACCATGACATGTTATACATGTCACTTTTGTATTCGTTCTAACACGTATTATATAGTTATATATGACAGTCTAATACTTTTAAGTGCGAATAGTGTGCTAACAAGTTAATCAATTATATATGACAATCTAATACTCAATTAAGCATGAATAAAGTGCTAACAAGTGTTTCTATTAAGTATGACATGCGTCATTTCTTCAATCAGCCTAACAAATATTAGGTGTGATAAACCAAAAGGTGAGGCTTGAAATTTGAGATCAACTGAGTAGCTATACAAGCTTACTATTTTAGCTGCATATTTAATGTATGTGTTTTCTAAATCAACATATAAATATAAATAAGATGGATAAGATGAGGGTTTAGGTATACCAAGAGAGCATTTTGTTGGGGGTATCTAGGAAAGGCATAGGGAAATGGAATCGACAAGGATGATTAACTTAGTTGTTGTTTGTTAGGGTTATTTAATCATTCTCCCCCCCCCCCCTCCCCACCCACTCAATTATTCCAAATTCCTATACTTCTATTCCTCCCTACCTTCCATGGTATTTGTTTCCTCTTTCCCTAAGCCACCAACACATAACACCCCACACCTTCCTCACCTTCGCCCTACCAGAATAGCCACCTTCTTCACCATTTAGCACCCGACCTGACCCACCTCAAACCACCCTCACACATCACCAAAACCACCTCCAGCCAGTTGATAGAGCGCCACCAACCTATCAAATAATAACCTATCTCGGTCTCACTAACTAGTAGCAAGGGTAAGAAAGTGTCGAACCCATAAGAGGCATTGGATCATCCACCAAATATCATCATTTAAACAAGCTAGATTAATTAAATGGTTTTGGTTTGATTTCATCTATCAACTACCAATTCAAATCTACTAAAGTCTAAGAGGGAGATCGAATTACAATATTAATAAGGTCTAAGACATGGGCTACATTACTCAATTTTATCACAAACTACAAGTAATTTTATTCAAGACATAACATTACGAGGGATAGATTAAGGGAAGTCATTGTCTAAGACACTCAACTTTTCTCTCAAACTAGAGGAGATAACTTGAGTCATGAATAAAATCTAGGAAATTTTGCAAAAAAACCACCTTTTATAAGCAAGTTTTTTCAAGAAACCACCTTATTATTATTTTTCAATGACACACCTTAATCAATTTTTTTTTGCAAATCAATACCTTTTATACCGAAAAATGAGGTTTGACCCCATTTTCCGGCGTTGACTACCCCAATCCACCCACAAAACCACCTCCCTCCCAAGCTCCACCCACAAAACCACCCTTTTCACTGCACTAACCACCCTAAACACACCCATTTAACGACGTTGACCACCCTAAACACACCCCTTAAACGACTTTGATCACCCTAAACCCTCCCCTATAGCCCTACCCACCCTTCTCTCCTCCATAGTCAACGTTGCCCCCCTAGCCGCACTCCCCTAACCCTAAATTAACGCTCGAACCACCCTAAATCCAAATTTCACAAGGTGGTGGAAAGAAGGGAGTTTGATTTTGTTGGTGGGGATGAGGAGGGGAGGCAGTTTCGTGGGTAGAACGAAGGAGGGGGTTATTTTGTGAATTGGGCTGAGGAGGGGGAGGTTTCGTGGGTGGGGTTGGGTAGTCGTTGCCAGAAAATATCACGATTTAGGTCAAGTACATAATCTAATACAAATATTACGATACTTATGATCAAAAGTAGCAATATGTATTTCGAATGTTCTTTACAAAAATGTTGATAAGAATAATAGGTAGTATCATTAATAGATATTTCTCATTAAGATGTCATCTTAATGTTTATTCCATTGAAATTTGAACAACATTACAAGGAAAAATTGCCAATGAAATTTAAAAGTCGTAGCATGTGTACAATTTTTTTTTTTTTGACAAAATGTATACATGTTTCAAGTTTAAATCCCCCTCAGTATGTAAAGGGTTTGTTATCTTTAGCTTAATTTCACTCCAACTAGTTCAGTGCAGTTCAGCTCCTAATTTCTTTATTTCATAAACAATTCATTTCAGCTTTGTTCGTAGTTAAGCTTAGTTCAATAAATCAAAAGAAACCCAAAGTTATAATTCGCTCTATAATGCACTTATTGAGTTATTTCTCATTCCGACCGGGCGCAATAAAAAAAAAAGTACGTACTGAATATTTCAAGAAAAGCCCATGAGATTAGTCAGTACTTCAGTAGACTGGTATATAAACCCCTTTATTTTATTTTTTCAAGGTTTTATTTATATACTTGTAGACGTTGTAGTCCATTCTTATTCTCTTTCCCCCTTTTCTCCATATCAAAACCCTAAAATCTTCTGAACCCACACAAATTTCAATCGGAGTTTCGATTTTCCGGCTAAATGGCTTCCAAATTCAAGGCGGATGGTCCTCACGGCGATGGCGCTAGCCCTGGGTTCGAATTTTTCCCCTTTTTTGCAATAATTTTCATTTTTTTTTTTGCTTAAATTCTTCTTCTTTCTTGTTTTTAATTTTGATTTTTGTTTGCAGGAAGATATTCATTGGCGGGCTTCCCAAAGATACTACTAACAGTGAGTTCGTATTTCTCTACTGTTAATTTACATTACTTTTGTTAATTTTTTTTTTTAATTGTTGAATTCTTACTTATTTTCCCCCTTTTTCGATTTTTGTTTTTTGGCTCTCAAATTATTTGCTTTTTTAATATGATTTGATATTAATATACTCTGTAATAATTAAATACATGCAATTTAACTATTCGTGTATTCATGAATAATGAATTAGTGTTTTTTTGGTGGGATTTGAGCTTGTAATTTAATTGTAGCCATGGCGGTAGAAAAATTATATTTTTCTGTAGGAAGAATATCCAATTTTTCAAATTTGTTATGTTTTGTGGTGAATTTTTGATTTGGATACTCGCTATGTTAGTTGTCCGAATTTCGAACTGGTGTAAATGTTCAGGGATATGGAAATGTTTAAATGAAAGAGTAGAAAGACCCTTTTCTAAATTAAGTTATGATTTTATATGTTTGTTTCTAATATACTGAACCAAGGATGCAGTGACATTTTTTTTTTTGTTTAGGTTAAAAGTTCTAGATTTTGCCTTGTTAATTGTGTATTCATTTGTTCGTCTGGCTGAATTATTGTGAAATTTTATATTGATTGTTAGTAATTATTACAAGTCTTATGTTTCTATTTGTTTTAATGTGAAATAGCTACATTTATCAAGCACTTTGGGAAGTATGGTGAGATAACGGACTCGGTTATTATGAAAGACCGTTACAGTGGGCAGCCAAGGGGTTTTGGATTCATCACTTATGCTGATCCCTCGGTTGTTGACAAAGTTATTGAGGATACTCAAATCATTAATGGGAAACAGGTATTGTGGTGTAGTTCTATGGATTAGTGGTGTTTTTTTGCAGTTCAAAGTACTATTCTCTTCATCATGTGTTGGAATTTGTAGAAAGTTTTATACTTGGACAATTTATTGTTGATTTGTGTCTTCTGTTAGTTTAATTGTGTTCTTATTTGTTACAAGGTTGAGATTAAGCGTACTATACCAAAAGGTGCTTCTCAGTCAAAGGATTTCAAGACAAAAAAGATTTTTGTTGGAGGCATTCCTTCGAGCGTCTCAGAAGGTATGCTGTTTTATTTGATTTTATCCTGATCGATATTTGTACATTGAGTAATAGATAAAAGCATGCATGTGGTATGACTGGTATCCATCTTTTTCATGTTCATATTTAAATGCTACTCAAAGTTAAGACCTGACTTGAAAATCTGAATTAATTTTGGATTGCTCAGATGAATTCAGAAACTTTTTCTCCGAGTACGGGGCGGTGACTGAACACCAAATTATACGAGACCATGAGACTAATCGTTCTCGCGGGTTTGGATTCATTGTATTTGACAATGAAGACGTGGTTGATGAAATACTCTCCAAGGGAAATATGATTGACATGGAGGGTACTCAGGTGAGCTCAACAAACTTTTCTGTTTGGAAAACCCATGTTACTAGGAAATGTTTTTATCTATTGTGCTTGTGGGTATGTCTGCATTTTATTTTCACCAATGAATTTTACAAACCTGTTTTGAGCTGAGAATCAATTTTCATTGCTAAATGCTCAATTTTTAATATTCTTCTTTTAAGGATTTTTAGTTTGTAGTCATGGATATCGTCTATAGTTCTATACAGATATAGATTTTGCCATAAGAGGACTCTCATCTTAGTTTGATGGAGCAGGCTTTAGGTTAACTGAGTTGCTTTGTTGTAGGTGGAGATCAAGAAGGCCGAACCAAAGAAACCCACAAACCATCCTGTAGCTCCTACTTATGGTAGCAACACTAGGAACCGTTCTTATGGGGATGGTTATGCTGGTTATGGAGCCTCTTATGGGGCTTTTGATGGTGGGTATGGTGCAGGTAATAACTATAGGATGTCTGGAGGTGTTGCTGGTAGGCTTGGGTATGGAGGCTATGGTAGTGGAGGGGAATATGGTAGAGGATATGGTTCTTTTGGCGGTGGTAGTTTAGGGGCTTATGGGGGAGAGTCATCCCTTGGGTACTCTAGCAGATTTGGTCCCTATGGTGCAGGATTTAGTGGTGCTTACTCTGGTGGCAGCTTAAGTGGATATGGTGGAAGTGAAGGTTATGGTAGCTATGGAGCTTCAGGCTATGGCGGCAGTTATGATTCCGGCGCTAGTGCTGGTTATGGTGGAGCTAGTGGGTTCTATGGTAAGGGAGGCTATAGTGGAAGTAGTCGGTATCATCCTTATTCACGGTAGAAAATCAGTGTTCTTAAGTTCGAGATAGGAGCTGTCCTTCCTATTATGTCTGGCCTGATAGGTACTACCCCGACGAGAATTAGAGATGCTTCCTCAAGTGCTTAAGGCATTAGAAGATCTGCTTTTATTGACGTCTTTATTATTGTGGTTTAGACAACTATGTAGTATGATTTGAAGAATTTGGTGTTAACCTTGTTCTAGTATCAGTATCTTATGTGGATTTTTGATGCTAGATGAAGTTTATCTTAATTTAGATAGATATTGGTGAAATTATTTTGTTACATAGCTTTTGAATGCAATCCTTGATTGGAATGAGCTAGAGGGGCTTAAGTATTTGCCAATGGGTATCTGCCAGTGTTTTCTACTGTCACCTGATTTTTTTTATAGAGGTTATATTTTCATTATTATTGTTTTCGTTTTGGACATGTGCATCTTCTGGTAAATCCTTTGTAATACTAGTATTATTGATTTATTGTCAGATTTAATGTGCAGCTTCCTTGTTTTTATGACTCTCTACTTTGATTGTTCATGAGTTGGCCTAGACTCTGAATGCATGTTGTGTTATTCTATCTGCTTTCTTTTCTGTAGCCTGGCTATATACTCTAGGTGCTACCGTTATAGTACATTTGTGGGATATTGTTTTTGCTTGATATTAGTCCATTAGTATGTTTTTTTTTGGTGTTCTACCCGGTTCACCCTTTTGGGCTAATCCGGATTCGGGGATCAGTTCTGGGTGGTTAGGTTCCAGTCCCCTCCCAATTGTTGTTGCGGGGGATCGAATACAGGTCCTCCCTACCAAGTGTAGTCCCAATCACCACTACACCAACACCCAATTGGTTTAGTCCATTTAGTATGTAATTGGGTCTATGAATGGTTAATGTTGAGTACTAGAGGCTTAGCTCATATCGGGGTTGAAGTTATGGAGTTGTCTTGCCATGCAGCTCAGACTTACCTGAGACATGATATTATGGTTATGAGAACTTATGGTATGATTGTAGCAACTCCCTTTTTGTGCAGTGGGTAGTAGCATAGTAATCTAACTTAAAGCAAGTCAATATTTTCATCGTTTCTACTATTTTTATGTACAGAACTAATACCTATCTATTCAGTGTCTCGTATCTGGATTTTTTTGCACTTCATGGTTTGGATTTTTTATTACTAACGTGGAGATGATTAGAGCCTTCAATCACCCAAAAGAAACAGGTTTCTGTTTGATGTACTTATCTTGTTAGAAAAAATTTCAACTACACTTTGTATAAATTATTGGTTTGACATATTTAGATTATTCATTTGTTTGTTAGATTAATTGTATTTGCTAATTTTCCTTTTTTTTAAATTCTCATTATTGTATATTAATTCTATTAAGGAATGATTAATTTCCTCTCTTATTACGTGAGTTTTACATAAAATATTCATCTTGACCCTCTTCCCACCGTACTACAAAAACAAGTTGCTTTATTTCAGTTTACGGAACTAAAATTGTACATGTAAATCTCCACCCCCAAATTACCTCGCATTGACGTCAAATCTTGTGTTTTACTTGAAAGTTGCATTATAATCCTCTACTATTAACTCTAGTTTTTTTTTTTGTCTCTCTTTTCTAATCGAGTTCAAGTACTATAAAATTCTTAACATACTCAAACATTGAATTTGCATCGTGATGAGATTAATGTATCATAATTGATCTTATACTTGGAAATTGAATTTGCATTGCAATAAGATTAATGTATTGCAAGTGATCCTATTATTTTCAAAACTAATCTATGGTTGCGGATTTAATACTCTAAAATCCTCAAAATGAACGCATAACAAGGCTAAATCAAAGCTAACGCACAAGTACAAGTTTGTGGATAGTGAACTCAACGAGAGGAAAAAACTGGGGGTTGAGGTTTGTTTAGAGATTGAATATTAGAATTTTTTTTTTTTTTTTTTTTTTTTGTTGTTTTTTCTTATATCAACTTTACAAAATGAGTTCAATTCAAAACTCCCATCTCATTCCTTGTTTTTGTGCATGAATGTGAAGACTTAAGCTATAGTAGAGAATAGAGATTTTATCTATATATGGGGTAGTAACTAGTAAAAATCATGAAAAATAGATGGTGTAGGACTACACTTTGATACGGTTCAAATAATGTGCCTCATGGCTATGTTTCAAAAATTTATCACTCTATCAATATTGGGAATACCTACTGCAATTTTGAGTTTTTTCTCATCCTGGTGTCCAAACTCTAAACCAGATTAGCCCCGGTATTTCAAAAGTTTCCTAACTAAATTTTTGGTCTTGCACAATATAATTATTTTACTCTTACGCAATTTAACGTGTACATTCTCTATTTCTGAAAGTTTGACTCACTTCACTTTTGCGCGCTATTCAATGAACATCTTTGACCTTGAATATCTTCGGCTAGTATAAATGAAAATTATAAAATGTTGTGATATTTAAAAATGTATATTAAAGGGGATCTAACAAGATCTAGCACGCTAATCTATTTCTATTGTACAAATCATATAATATGGTAATTTATTTGAACATATGAATAATAAGTGAGTTGAATTTTTAGAAACAAGGTAATACATATTCATCAATAACAACCTAATGCAAAAGTCCATATTGCCTATTTAGCAGAACATCAATAGCAACCCCTCAAGTTGCTGGTATTGCGACTCTTATTAAGAAGCTACACCCTAATTGGAGTGTTGCAGCAATCAACTCCGTAGTCACGCACGTTACGTACATTACACATACCACTAGAGGTGGTTATTGGACAGGGTAGTCCAATGATAATAGGGTCAGGGCCAAGCTTATAGGGCTTTTAATGGACAAGACTCTTATTGGGTAGGGTCAATATAGGGCCAACATGTTTTTCCAATTTAGTTGATAAAGAAAATACATAATGTAAAAATAATTATATAGATTAATTTGTATTCATATGTAATTAATAATGGCTTTGTCCAATATTTATTTTAATTGATATTTTGTAGGCCCGCCCATTATCGACCCGCGTCCCGACCCTATATTGACCCTATAAAATGTGACCCTCTTTGACCCTGATCTGACCCACCCAATAACCAGGTCTACGTACCACGCATGTGAAATGTACCTTTTAATAATTGTGTGTTTGATCATACCTCACCTTCTACTTTTTATTAGTGCAACAAGTTCTTTTGACAATAATGAGATTTTAATACGTAATAGCAATAAGAACAGGAATGTCACACCTTTAAAGAACGGGGTCAGGTCACATGACGCCAAACATGGCAATGGTCAATGGATCCTCAACTAGTTTATGACATGGACTTTTATGATTACCTTAGTTTCTCCAACATTCCTACAAATGCCCGCGGTCCTTCAACATCTTATCCCTCCATCTCTATTATTGACTTCACCGACAATATGATAATTACAAGAATGTTGAAAAATGTTGGACAACCACGAGTCTATGTTCCACACATTGAACCAACTCCGGGGTTTTATATTGTGATAGAGCCTAAGACTTTGGTGCTCTCCAAAAGGGATCAAACCATTATGTATATACTTGATTTCACATTTTCACAATTGATGTTGGTCAACTTCTCATTGATTTCACATTTTCACAATTGATGCTAAACATGTTAGAAGTCCTACTATGGTCATGGATAGAAAGAGCTACCTATAATTATGTACCATTTCTAATTTTATCACTCCATTTTTATTGTGATCAAGCCAAGATCTTTTGTGAAGGCACGTAAGCCCTACTTCATTTTTATTGTATTCAAGGGAAGATCTTCATGGAGGCACATAAGCAACACCCTCCCCCCCCCCCCTCCCCCTCTTCTAAAGTAGATATAGATAGAGAATATGATGTATGAACGTACAATGTATAGTTTTAATTAGGGTTTAAAGTTCACCTTGTCTTAATTTAAGATTTGCCTCTAATTATATTGTATTTGTATAAATTGAGCTTATAATCACAATGAATTTCTTAACAAAAATTCAATCATCGTAATACACCATTAGTATCAAAATATGAATCACAAATTCTTCCATGTGGCTGACCCACCTTGTGGTTAGCCATTGTGGGGGTTACATCGTTAATGTTATAGGGGTTACTTAATTAGTGTAACACAAGGATTATTTTGTCACGGGTTACATGGTTAGGTTTTAAGAGGTACTCGATCATTATTACAAGGGATACTCGATCAATGTTATAGGGGTTACTTTGTACTTTTACAACTTACAAAACGCGTTGAATATGAATTTTTTGACAGAATATGCTTCCTTCGTCCTACTTGGCCATTTGACCAATTCACACACGCATTTTTGACCATTTGTGATTTATACATAAGGCATTACATAGTCATGTAGGTTCTTGTATGAAAAGTCTCAATAAATCCTACTCCCTCCGTGGTTTTTAAGTGTTACAATTTGACCGACACATAGTTTTAGGCAATTTAATTGACTTAAATAAAATAAGATGTAAGTGGGGTAGTTGGAGTTTAAAAAATTGTAAAAGAAAGATAGTGAGGTTAATAGTTTATTGAAAAGTAATGAATGTGAGATGAAAGATAACTAAAAAAGTAATAGTGGGTTTAGGTGGAAACCATGAGAGGAGAGAAATATAATATTTTGATGTAGCTTTTTGCCAAAAAAGGAAGTGCAACACTTAAAATATACACGGTCGAAAATCAGAACTGTAACACTTAAAAAAACACGGAGGGAGTATCAAAATATCTTAATACTTAGATTATGCATTGACATGAGTGATAAATTAAGATATTTCAAGCAAAAAAACAAATGAAGTATTTTGGTTGAAAGGGCCTAGAGTCCAGTTTGCAAAAGAGTCTCAAAGCCAAGCCATAAGCCCATAACCAATTAACCATCCACAAAGTAAAACTATTGCCAAAAAAATAAAAAAAAATAAAAAAAATCAGCTTTCTCTAATAAACCCTAGCCATTATTGAAAGAGGAGAAGAAAAACCCTAAACCCCTCTTTCAATTCGTAGTCTCTTTCTCTCTCCTCAGAAAAGTAGCAGAAATGGTTGCAATAGCAGCGAAGAAGAAGAAGAATGTCGAGAATTTCATTGCCAAAAAGACTAAAAAAGAAGAAGCTCCAGTAGTGAAGAACACGAAGAAGAACAAAATTGATGATATATTATCTGGAGATGATTCTGAACAAATTGATGAATTTGAAACTGAAAGTGGAAGTTCATCTGATGATTCAGAAGATGATAACCAACTTAAGGATGATTTTCTTGCTGGAAGTGGAACTGATAATGAGGATGACGATGATGATGAGGAGGATGAAGAAGGAGGTTGAATTTTTATTGTTGTTCTTGTTAGTTTGATAATTTTTAAAATTGTTCTTGTTGATTTTAGGAAAATAAAACCCTTTTCGTTTTGAATTTGTTATTGATTGGTTGAATAATTTGGGTTTTTTTTTGGGTGTTATTTAATTGTAGTGACTATAATGATTATTGGACTAATTGTGAACTCTATTGCATAGGTAATGATTTTGAGTCGGGTTCGGGGTCGGATTCGGATGATTCTGATGAAGAAAACATTGAGTTGTCGTCGAAAGCCATTGATGACAAACGAGCAAGGCAACAGAAGGAAGCAGATGATGAATTGAAGCTCAATATACAGGAAGAAACTGAGTTTAGACTGCCAACCAAGGAGGTATATTATAAAGTTTTTATAACTTGTTAGCTAAGAGTATTCCATTTTGTATTTGTGTCGAAAATTAACTAAATATATTCGCTTCGTTGGGAATGAATTGTAGGAGCTTGAACTAGAGGCACTTGGACCTCCTGATCTTCCTAGTCTCCAGAGAAGAATCAAAGAAAGTATGTTTATTTTTTATTTTATTAGATAGATAACAGATTATCTTGTCTCAATAATACTCGCATTATCTCAATGTTACTCGGACTCTTCATTTTACCTCAACTCCTCAAGTTCCTGTCATATAAGATCCATTTATTAATTATTTTATTACGACTATAAAAAAATGCAATGTGTTTTGTTGAATGTAAAGCATAGTTGAGAATCTGAGACTGTTTCACAGTATAAGTTTAGTTTTTGAGATTCAAGTTCGTGAAACCTAATGCCTCCCTCCCTTATTCATGTTAGATATTCGGATCCTTTCAAAGTTTAGGACTTTGAAACAAGAAGGGGCGTCAAGGAAAGATTATACTGACCTGCTTAAAACCGATTTATCTACATATTACGGTTACAATGAGTTCCTGATTGGGATGTTGTCAGAGGTATTGTGCTCTTAATCTGTTTCTGCAATGATTCTTTATCTCTCCATCTCAATTTTGCATTTTTCTTACTAGCTATATGCTAACTTTATCACTAACTTCTACAGATGTTCCGACCTGTTGAGTTATTGGAACTCATTGAAGCTTTTGAAAATCCTCGTCCAATGTGTATAAGAACTAATACATTGAAGGTGCCATTGTGACTTATGTTTCTATGCATATTATGTCTTACACAGTTACATTCACGATTAGTCTCAATTGTACTTGATCTATTGAGAATTCATATATCATGTCTTTTGATGTAGACACGTAGACGGGACCTTGCTGATGTTCTCTTGAACAGAGGAGTGAACTTGGACCCTTTGGGCAAGTGGTCAAAGGTAAGTATATGTGCGCATGCATGGTAGGAAAATTCTGTTTTCTGGTCAAAAGCTGGTTCTAACACTACACTTTGAATGCTTTGTGTAGGTTGGATTAATAATATATGAATCCCAAGTGCCAATTGGTGCCACTCCTGAATATATGGCTGGTCACTACATGGTATCTTATTATTTATAGAAGTACACTGGTTTTTTGATGCTGATTCCATCTTAGTTCACTTGACATTTAAGTGTTTCTTCTGACATGCTGCAGTTGCAAAGTGCAAGTTCTTTCTTGCCAGTGATGGCTTTAGCTCCTCAAGAAAAAGAGAAAATTGTCGACATGGCGTAAGTAATCTATGTTGCTACTTTGCTTGAATTTTATTTTTTGAAGAAAGACATTATGTTTCCTGTCCTCAAGGTCACCTACTCCCCCCCCCTCCCTTCACTTCTTATCAAGAAAGAGGGAAGAAGGATGAGGCTGCACACTTATAACAGTTTAGATTTCTCGTGTGTTGGCTGTCTCATGCCTGTTGGTATCCGTTTTAGTATAAATCTTTGTTGGATAGTAAGATTGTGAAATTGATTCGTGCCAATGGTTGTGATGTGCTGTGTTTCTATGGTACTTGCAGAGCGGCTCCTGGTGGGAAAACTACATATATTGCTGCTCATATGAAGAACACAGGTATATATATATATATATATATTCCCTCCTGTAACGCCGTAGTATTCTTATTAGGATTTTCATATGTGTAAGACTATAAATTTTTGTTACAGCTTTCAAAACTTGTTAGTTAGTTATAGAATTTGGCTGTTCGCTAATAGTGGAGGGAAGTAAGTAGGTTCTTTCTTTTTTTTTTTTTTTTTTTTGGAAGGCCTTTTCTATTTTACTTGAATTTAGGGTTTTTTTTTAATTTTTTTTTTAATGACACTTATTATTATTTATAGAGTGAAAAGGTGATTTCAGCTGTGCAGATATTTGAGTTCTGAGTCAACTTCAAAAAATTCGGGAAATATAATAATGAACAATACACAAATATGCAATATGGCTTTAAAGGCTTAAAACTGTTGAGCCAATCTCTATAAAACCTCCTATTTAGAATCCAGCAGGCCAGCATCATTCTAAAAAACTAAGTTGATCATCCACATTTTAAGAAATGTTGTCTATTTCTAAAATCCTTATAGGATGATCTCCTATAGTGTCGTTGCTCACTTCCTTGTAAGTGGATCCTTAGAATTCTGTTTCCTACTACCCAACATTTATTTCACTAAAGATGTTTCCATTGATATTTGAGACTGAAATTATCACTGTATATTCCAATTTTATAGCTGTTGGTTATGATCTGCACTTGTTAAAGATCATTGTTTCAATCTTAAATCTCCATGACTATTTTTTGCAGTGTGGGCCATATGGCATGATTATTAATCTAAAGTCAAGAGCATAAATGCTTGATTAAACTGTCATAAATTCATCTTACAGAAGTTCTCATTTCAAATCATCTATTTGTAGGATTAGTGTTTGCAAATGAGATGAAAAAGCAGAGGCTTCACTCTTTGTCTGCAAATATTAGCCGCATGGGGGTGACGAACACAATAGTTATAAACTATGATGGAAGAGAGGTTTGATTCTTTTTACTGATATGCTGTGGTTCTTGTTAGAAGTTTGTAATTCTGTCTCTATACCCTTTCATTCTTTGTATTTGCATTTATAAATATGCTAAAATTCAAGTATGGCTACGTAGATGGATGTTTAATAGTTGTACATGCTGATCTTGATTATTTTTCTTTTACATGTAGCTAACAAAGGTATTGGGAGTTAATTCATGTGACAGAGTGCTATTGGATGCCCCTTGCAGCGGAACAGGGGTAAGCACTATAATTTTTTATATTTTGTTGCTTACAGGATTCAAACATTTATTTGCTGATAAATCAATCGAGTAGAGAAAACATATATGCATGCGCTCACACTTCATATAGTAGTAAATGCTGTTAAATAGACATTATATTTTGTGGGTTATGCCCTATTCATTAAGTCAGCCTACTCAGGAGTATGTGATATTCCACCCCCCCCCCCTTGTAAACTGATGTGGGATATTTTATATGTGTAAAAATAAAATTTTACATGATATGCTACTTGCTTGTGAGGTTTACAAGTCTAGTTTGAGCATCATTGAGTTGAGATTTAGTAGCATGCAAGGAGGTTGTGTTGATTTTGTCATATTTTTGTAGGTAATATCAAAGGATGAATCTGTAAAATCCTCTAAAAGCATTGAAGAGATACAGAAATGTGCTCACTTGCAACAGGTATTTATTTTTTCTGATTATTACTCCCATCGTGATTTTTGAGGCATTAATATGCTTTTTATAAAAAAATTCACCATATTATTAAGGCACATTTGAATGTGTGCTATGAATAAAAATTTGGTCCTATTGTCAAGGAACTTTTCCGACGCAACCATTGTAGCTACTTTAATTGATGTCGGTGTTAAGAATTTGGCACTAGGCTTGTAGTTTTTCGCCACTGTAGGATTATTCTTTATTTTTTTTTTTTGCTTACATATGATTATTGACCCATATCTCCAGCAACTTATTCTAGCTGCAATTGATTTGGTGGATGCAAACTCAAAAACTGGAGGATATGTTGTGTATTCAACTTGTTCTATCATGGTTATGGAGGTTTGTGAAATGGATACTTGTCTATGTTTAATATCATTTACTGTCCAATATTTTCTCTTAATTTAAAGTCTTGCAGAATGAAGCAGTAGTAGACTATGCCTTGAAGAAACGGAATGTAAAACTAGTCTCATGTGGACTGGACTTTGGAGAGGAAGGGTAATCCTAATTTATGAGTCCTGTTGATCATAACCGCTTATTCTGATTATCTAAGATATCTGATGATATCTACCTTTTTTCTCAGATTTGTCAACTTTAGGCAATATCGATTTCATCCATCATTAGACAAGACTAGGCGGATCTACCCCCATAAGCTCAATATGGATGGTTTTTTTGTGGCCAAGGTAAATCTTTACTGTCCCATTAACATAAAAGTGGTAGCCTGAATGTATGACATGTATGTATGCATTTTACTATAGCTATGGCAGACTCTGACAGGTTGACTGACACCTTGCCTCTAATTCTTGTAAAGTTATGGGGGATTCTGCTATGTGTCCTTTTTTGTTAATACATACAACAACTGCTACAAGCGTTATGCTGTTGTGTGGAATCTGCCTTGTTGGGTCATTAGAAAAATTTTGACTGAGAATTAGTTACTCTCTTTTCTTAGGGGCAATGATACTTTGACTCTTCTATTTACCTTCAGTACGTGTGTCAGGTGCATTCTGATACGGTTATGGAACCTTTTACATACAACTGATAGAAGCATTATGCTGTTATGGTGGTATAGAATCTGCCTAGTTGGGCCATTAGAAAAATTTGGACTGAAAATTAGTTACTCTCTAATGATACTTTGACTCGTCTATTTACCTTCAGTATGCGTGTCAGGTGCACTCTGACACGGTTATGGTCCTTATGGAACCTGTATTCAACACTTGGATTTTCATTGCAACACTTGATTTGTTTTGTTCCACATTAGAGAAGAACTATGAAAATGTCAATGTAAGCGCTCCCGAAGTTACAGGGTCATTTTGCTGAGTTCCTCCAACATGGATCTCTCAAGCCCCTTGTGTACTCTACTTGTTCACCTGTTTCGGTTTTGGGGTATGGGTTAATCAAGGTTGTTTAACTGCTTTCCATAAATCACCTAAGAAGGATTTTTTTTAAGGCATTCTCTGATGAGTATGTAACTAAGTTGTCAGCATGATCTTGATTAAATGATGTGATGTGATGTGTGTATTGCATTGTAAGTTAATCTTTCTGTTATTTCATAAATTCATTTTGCAGTTAAAAAAAGTAAGCAACACAAATCCCATTCCACGCTCTGATGTTCCATCAGAAACAATAGAGCAGGATCTCAATCTCAATGACACAGATGCTGATGGACAGAAGTCTAATAAGCGACAAAGAGATGATGATGAGCCACAAGAGACTGAGGATTTGAATGAAACTCCCTTGGATAATGGTAAGAAGAAACCTTCTTCTAAACTCACAGAGAAGAAAACGACCTCAAAGACAAATGTTAAGGATAACGAAAACGAAGTATCACCTCCAAAAAAGAGGAAGAAAAGGGTCTTTCCATCTCGTGAAGAAGTTTCAAAAGCAAGGTGAGCAACTGATCTCTTAATGGAAGTTTGAACATCATATCCTGTTAAATCATTCATAAAATTAAATCTATCAGCCGATCTCTTACTGGAAATTTGAAGAATTGTGGTTTCATGATCTGTTAGATTATCCATGATGTGAAGAATTGTATTTTTTTACTTGAAGTTTGAAAAATTTTGGATTCTTGCCCTGGTCATTATTCAAAAAACGTAAATTTATGGTTTGAACTTTTAAGATAGAATCTTTGATTGTTTCCCTTCATATAATGTAGACCAGTTAATTCTCATCTGCATAGATATTGCTTTTAGAGCCTTGTTGCCGTGTGTCTAATTACACTAGTATATGCTTCCTTTGCATTTGACAATGGTGCGTTAAAACATGTGCAGGGAAGAAAAGAGAGAAGAGTTGAGGAAAAAGAAGGTAGAAGGCAAGAAGAAACGCGGTAAATGATCATTTGAGCATACCTCTCAAACCATTCTGTCAAGAATGTTGTTTACTAACATGATGAACAAATTCTCTTATTAGTTCCCAGTTTTGTATCCAGCTTCTTAAAACCACAAAAGAAAAATGTTTTGTATCCATTTAATTTTTGTTTCCGTTTTTGTGCAAAATTTTAGGAGTAAATTATGTGTGCCCTTAGGTTAATGGTAGAATCAGAGCACATGTTATAGAAAATTTTGTTCAAAACAACTGGAAGGATAAATCTTTGAAAGAATTATGCTTATGACATTATGGTGTATTGTATTATTCTGAAGTTCTGTATGAGTAATTTTTATTTGATAGGTCAATTACTCTGAAATTTCAAGAGATTTTTTTTGGCAAAGCATGAACCTGTTCAGTTTATACCATTTGGAAAAAAGTAGAGGAAATGTGATCCTGTGAATGTAGAATCCTGCAGGATTAAGAAAGTACATGGATTTGTCAAAAAAAAAAAAAAAAAAAAGTACATGGATAGACCAGTTTGTATTGAATTGATGAAGAATTATTGGACTCTAACCGTTAGAGTCATTTATGACTCAACACACGTTGGTATTTCACATGATACCAACGACAAATTATATCGATACCAACAATTATATCGATACCAACAAAACAATTTTATGTTCATTGGTATCATTGAATAAGGTGGTTGGTATCATGGTGATACTATCTAAAATATAATGAAATACCAAAATGTGCTGTGACATTATTTTTTTCTTCTCTTCTGCAACCTATTCATTTGCCAATATAAATATATTAAAAAATAATTATTTATATAGTATACCTATAAATAAACCGTGCATTGCACGGGGCAGAAGGCTAGTTCAAAATAAAACACCCAGCATTTTGTGCAACAAGAAATATATACTTCGTATATCAATTGGAAAGATCTTCTGTACAAAAACTTCATTTTATAAACGGCATTGTTGGCTTGTCCATGAGGCAAGTGAGTAACGTTTGTTGTACGGAGTACTTGTTCTTTGAGTGCAGTGTCACAATGAACTTGTCTTTGAGAAGTAGGAGCTTCTGACCTCGTTGAATGCTTTGATACGAATCTACTATTTTGGCGCAAAGTAATCTTAAGATTTTGTTGTCGCTAAATCCTTTCCGGCCTTCCAATGGAAGCACCGCGGGGTTCATAAATTAAGTTGACAAGAGTGAACATGTTTATTGATATGGTTATTCCCTTAAGGATGATTCTCGAAACTTAGCATAATTCTAAAAGAAGATACTAGGTCATTAAGGTTGGTAGTGTCACATTTAATTTTTGTTTTGGTACGCCAATAAAAGGCGCCCTATCAAATTAGAACCTTGCACAGGTAATCTAGTATGGGTTAGTAGGTAAGACCCTCTGGAAGTTGAGGAAGGGTAAGCGAATTCTCACCCTCAAATTGTCTTTGATGAAGATTGGTTTTTACTAATAATATTGTGTTTTATTGACCAAATTTTACTACTAGTGTTAAAATGAAAATATTTATAATTTTACTATTGATAAAAACCATATTTGTATTTAGTAATACTGGTGTCAAAAATTGATCAGATTTGGCTAGACTTGATCCAGAAACTCATCTATATGGACACAATGACATACGAGTAGAGAGTGAGGGATAACTCAAGTGGTTAGAGCTTCCTTCTCGTTTGCAGGAGATCGACTTGAGATCGACTCTCACCCTCGCACTAGTGGCTCTCTAAACACCCAAAAAAAAAAAAATTCCAATGACTTAGTAGCAATATGGTTCAAGCCAAAATTAAACCCCACTCCATTAGATAAGTAGCCCGATGCCATAGAAGGTTCCAAGTTCCAAGTAATGTGGCAAACACCAAAAGAGTTCAATTTAGAGGCAAGCTCATGATTTCCTTTTCCTCCCCTAAGTTCAAATAGACAAACGATTTTGGGGGTTCCTAAAACCCTAAACCCTAAAATTCTCAAAACACACAGAATCAACAACGATGCCAAAACTCCCTGACCACCTCGAGCTCAAGCGCACTCGCGTCTCCTGCAAACTCGATGCTCCTAATGACGTACTCTCTCTTCCTTTCTTCAATTTCTGGTAAATTTTATCTTTGATTCTATTTTCTCCATTATTAATGGCGTTTTTTGTCAACAGACTGAATCAATTTTATATTCTGGAGCATATGCTTCAATGGACGTTGATAATTCGAGTTTAGAGAGTTTCTTTAAGGATTTTAAAGTCGTTGTCAATCGTATTACTGAGGATGAAATTGAGTTTGATATGATTGGTATTGATGCTGCTTTGGCTAATGCTTTTCGACGAATTCTCATTTCCGAGGTAAATTATTCATTTTTGGATTGGATAATAACTTTTTTTTTTGTTTAATTTGATGGTTATTATGTATGTCACCTATTTTGTGAATTTGTGGGTTTTTGAATTCTATTATTGTTTGATTATGTGTGGATTATAATTTGATTGTTGCTTATGAGGATTGAGTCTTTGGATATAGAAATATGTACGTAGTATGTTCGGAAATAATAGTCACATGTACTACCGCAAGACGTTGGAAAAAGTTTTCATCTTTGATCAAATTTAATATCCGTAGTAGAGTAGTAACTTATGTTTGGCTTCGGAGATACTGATTAATGGGGAATAGGTTAGGAATGAGCTGATTATTATGACCATTTTTCTTTTAAGTAAGATTTGTGTTGTGATGTATCAAGTTTACCCCAATTGTGGGAGTAAGAGTGTGGCACAATTTAGTCAGATAGTATACATTATAGTGCATTATCTTAAATTGGGTAGAGTTCCCCATGATTGACTAAGTCAAATAGTTGAAGTTACAGTGGTTTTGCAAACAAATAAAGAGGTTGCTTAGCAGGGGTATTAACGTCAGAGGAACGAGTTTTGATGAGCGTGTAGATGACAAAGTGAGGATATAAGAAAAATACCGAAACTTGTTTCCTTGTTTGAGGTCCACAATACAAGTTTATAGGCTTTCCTGATACCCCTGGCATAAAATACAATTTGATTTCCTAGAAGATGTAGTAAGTGAAAGGTTGCTATACCAGAGAATAAGTTCTCTGTCTTGAGAATTTGAAGAGATGTTCCAAATCTTTGAGGAAAAAATAAATCCTCGTGCCCTCTGAATAAAAAATGTTAGGCAATGAAAACCGAAAATTTAACCGGACAAGGTGTTATAAGTTCTAGTGCTGGATTATATGACTTGCCCTCTCGAGGAATGAACTGAAAAGGTTAAAATTGCGTGTACTAGTTGTTAATTACACCAGAAAATGTCTGAAAGATGAAATTTTGAATATACCGTTTCTATGATTAGCTGATTACTCTCACATTTGCACTAGCAGATGAAATTGACTTGAATCATGGTGTAGAAACGAGGAAGAAGAAGAGAATTTAGGGGAAAATGATAGTTGATTGTGATTTGGATTAAATTATCAAACTGAGCATACACCCCATACCTTTTAGTGGTTGGATACAAGCTAAAGCAACGTAAAATTCACTCAATGCTATTCGATTTCCTTCTCTCTCTAATCCCCTCTATGTATGGCAGTTCCCCCAATTTCTCTTATTGACTCTCCTCTCCAAGCTAATCCTAACCAACTTATTATGCAATACCATAATATTACCCCCTTCTCTATACCCAATGAATTATACAGACTATCATGGTACACTGATGGTAGCTGTACTAGCAGTATTGTATGAGTTTCAGGATTTCTTCTGTATTTATTTCAGAGTTGAGGATGGATGATGAATGATTGAATGCATTATATTTTATGTAAAGCTAGATTGTTTCATGTCTTTGAATGTGTCTTATGCATTGTTATGCATGGTCCAAGTTGGAAACTTAATGACTTGGTGATTTCTGTGTGAAAATTAAATTGAACTTTGAAATGTTATTTTAGGTTCCCACAATGGCCATTGAGAAGGTTTTTATAGAAAAAAACACGTCAGTGGTTCAGGATGAGGTTCTTGCGCACAGATTGGGGCTCGTTCCCTTAAGAGTTGACCCGAGGTTATTTTCTTATAAGTCAGGTATAAGCTCTGTGTTTGATGTTGATAACAATAAGTTTATGAACTTACCAAATTTGTTTGCCTTTAACAATTTAATTATATATTTTTTTAGAAAAGGATGAACCAAATGAGAAAAACACCATTGTTTTTGGACTTCATGCCCGTTGTGAACAAAAAGAACCACGGCGGTCAGGTATATCTTTGCTACTATCCTTAGAGTATATTAGGGGTTTGCAAATTAGTTTGTAATTTGTACTACTTGTTCACCTTCATTGATTCATTTGCTTGTGATGCGTTTGAATAATGATTGCTATCATTTTGCTGTAGTCAAGTCAGAAGAACTGAGTTGGTTGCCAAAAGGGAGTATGTTCTTATTGGAGATAGAAAATAAAGCATCAAGTTCAACCACGGCACCCAAAACTTATACTAATTTTAAGTCGAGCCAGGATGAGCTACCTGAATTATCAGACAATCCAATTCATCCTAAGTATCCTGATATCACTTTAGCTAGGATTGGGCCAGGACAGGTAGCTTTCATATCTCTTGCTTTCTGTATCTGCTGGTAACTTAATCCATTGAGTTTAGCAGCTTGTTATTAAACTTACTTAGGTAGTTAAATTAAATATGGCAGTTTGTCGATTGAGTGATTCTTGTCCCCTTGTGGGCTGTTGTTTTTCCTTTATCAATTGCTGATGCTTGTTCACAAACTCCTTTGTGAAGTCTTGATGTTTAATTTTATCAAATGTCAACTTTGTCATATGTCCAGGAAATTGAACTTGAAGCACATGCTGTTAAAGGTGTTGGTAAAGAACATGCAAAGTGGTCCCCAGTTGCGACTGCTTGGTACCGGATGCTTCCTGAGGTAAAATGCCTACAATGCTATCTGATCACCCCCCCTCTTTTTTGTGACTATACTGATATCAACTTTTATGGCATAGGTTGTTCTCTTGCAAGATATTATTAATGAAGAGGCAGAAAAGCTGGTACAAAAATGTCCAGCTAATGTTTTTGACATTGAAGACACTCCTACTGGTATTGTGCTCTTCATAGTTCATATTACCACTGCACAAATGATTTTGTGCTTTTTCTCGGATATATATGCCCCCCCCCCTCCTTCCTGCTTTTTGCTTCCTTATCAAAACTTGCGCCTTAACAGGTAAGAAAGCAACAGCCCCACGACCAAGATCCTGTACCCTTTGCAGAGAATGCATTAGAGGGGAAGGATGGGACAAATATGTCGCTTTGCGGCGTAAGAAAGATCATTTTATATGTAAGTTATGCTCATCCAATAATAAACTATTTTATGCTTAAAAAATGTTGCCTACTGTTATTTTCTAGCTTGAATTACACTTACTAGGAAGATTATTGTATAAGCTATAGATTTCTTGTGGAATACTACATTCAGCAGCAAGAAATTTTGTACTCCATGTATAGATGGAGAACTGGAGCCTAAGGTTTCATCTTTGTGTGTTTAAATTCTCAGGGAAGTTTTTCATTGAGAATTACTTTTTATCCATTTGGGTTCTGTTATTGTTTCAAGTTTGAGAAGGTGCATTATGAGCTGAGAGTTCACATTCCTGGGGAAACTATGTTTTCTGTTAACGAGTCCCTGTGGACTGTGGTAGGCTCTTTACATTTTATGTTGTCATATCTCTTGTGCAGAGGAACCGAACCTTCTTAATTTTGAACCACCACTCGCCTCTTGGTGTGCAGGATAAGCTGTTTATCCTTGATGACATTCTTAAATAGTTCGCGATTTTAATTTTGGTCTATTTAGTGATAAATTCTTGGTGGCCAGGCAATTGCAGTCTAGTATTAGGTGTGACATTGATATATTAATCTTTCTTCTAGTCCTGCATTATAGTAAGATTTTTTTTTGAAATTTGTATATTAGAATTATGGTTAGAGTTAACTATATTTGTTTTGCTGCCAGTCACTGTTGAATCAACTGGAGCGTTGTCTCCTGAGGTGCTATTTACCGAAGCTGTGAAGATCTTGGAAGACAAGTGTGAACGTATCATAACCGAACTGTCATAATTTCACTTGTATCTGTGAATCAGAATATTGGTTGCAAAACATATGCTTATCAAGCCAAATCATTAGGAGTCTTGGAGGACAATTCCAACCCTATAACCTCTCCGGAGTGCTTCAGAAAACTGGAAATAAGCTGTGTAAAAGGGGGTTTTGGTGGTTGTATAGATATCTCTGCCAAATTCGGTTCAAGCATTAATCAGCAAGACAATTAGGAATTTTAATAGCCAATGTTTTGGATCGAATTTTGTGTGGCTATGTTCTGGTCCAAACAAGAACCTGTACCTTGTAAAATGGCAAGATTATTGATGTGAAACCTGTTATGGATAATGCTTGCTTTACTTGGCCATTGTTATTTCACCTGCATATCTCAGCTAATATGCGACAAAACTCGAGGCGTTACCTTATTTTGAAGTACGCTGTTTTCTAAACTACTTGTGAAAGATTGGTTCATCCTCGCATGTTCCTCTTCATATAGTCATTTTATTTTTGGCTAGGTGCTTTGCTCCCAAGACCATTTATATTGAATGATTGTGTTTATATAGTTATTATAGTACTTGTTTGTCTTGCTGAGTGCTGGCTGCCTGGCTGCTGCACGTGTAAATTTTACACGTTTATTGTTATTTTAGCACATTATATTAAAAGAATTCTGTAATGTATTAATGTCATATTGTAGTAGTTTGTGTGTACCAAAAAAGAGAGTATATTTTAGACTTGTAGTAGGTTGTTACTTGTTAGGGTTCTGAGTTTGTCACATGAGATCTCAGTTATACATGACAATTGGGGGGGGGGGGGGGGGGCTAGATTCTTGTCCACTTGATTGGCTAAACCTCAATGATGCATACTTTTAGCCTCACATTTGGAGAGATTCAGATCTAATTTTGTAAGGAAATTACAGCCCATCCTACAAAAAATTATTTCGTACATATATTTGAAATGCCATATGCTCTTGCACTTATAACCTAACTTGGGACCAATGTCTCCGACCCCCTTCATCCCCACATCTCTTCAACGGATCGGAGCCATAATCAGTATGGTTTTTGACTTTGACATTTCAATATCTATCTGCCCCTAATCGATATCTCCATCTCTTCAACGGAGCCATAATAGGCAAGCTGTTCTTAAAATAAATTTTAGTCTAATAAATTCAGGTAAGTTCAGATAAGATAAGATAAGCTAGTTTAGATAAATGAAAATCAGGTGAATAGAATACATTCTAACGAAGAGGGGATTATTAATCATGGGCGGAGCTAGAAGGGGACATGTGGGGACACTTGTCCCCCCATTTTCAAAAAAAAAAATTAAAAAAAAAAAAAAATTTAAAAAAAAAAAAAAATTTAAAAAAAAAATGCAATTAGTGCTCTGTTCATCTGTTGCGTTGCGACATTTACCAGCCAGCCAAACCCTAAGTTTTTCAATTTTCAATTTCTCTCTCTTCGATTCGCCGTCGCCTGTCGCCTAGCCGGCTCGCCGTGACGCCGTCCACCGTTCGCCGGCAGTTCGCAGCAGTGACGAGGTTCAACAGCCGCCCTTGAGCCTTCGTCCTTCGTGACTTCGTGTCTTCGTGACTTCGTCTGTTCGTCAATCGCCTAGCCGGCTCGCCGTGACGCCGTCCACCGTTCGCCGGCAGTTCGCAGCAGTGACGAGGTTCAACAGCCGCCCTTGAGCCTTCGTCCTTCACTCCTTCGTGACTTCGTGACAGCGTGACTTCGTCATATGCATTTCAATGGAGGTATGAATCAATGAATGTATGATTAATTGAATAATTGATTACTTGTTTTGTTGTTTAAATGTTTAATTGTTTAAATTTACAGTAAATCTGAAATTCTGAATTTCATATTTTTATTACTTGTTTAAATGTTTATATTTTTATTGTGAATTTGTCATTTGTGGCCTTGTGGGTATTGATTATTGAATAATTTGAATTGATAAATGATTATTGATTTATATTTGTTTGATTGTTTCCCCTGTTAGAGTTTTTGGTTGTTTTTGTGAAATGTGAATTTAAATTATTAATTATTGTAAATTATTGAAATGTGTAGTTGAATTAGAAATTTAAAATCTTAGCCTCTTAGGTTTTGTTATTATGTAATGATGTGGATTGTGGTCTTGTGGAAATTGATATATAATTTTCAATTTAACTAGGAAATATCAAAAGATTCACCAAATTCAAACAAATCAAAGGCAACTAAACAACCCGATCTTCGACAATTCTTGTTTAAAAGAACGAGACTCAATGAAAATGAGTCCAATAACTCACCTTCAGTTAGCTCCCCTCAAAGTCAAGAAAATAGTATGGAAATGGGTGGTTCAAGTAATAGTAATGTACCATTAGAGGAAGATTTGGTGTATGATGTTGAACTTCTTCCTCATGATCCGGGAAAAAGAATAAACATTATGGATTACCCCGCAAATGAACGAAATGCTGTTAGGAGGGGTTATATTCTTAAAAAACCTTGCCAACCAAAAACTCATGTCTTCCCTACAAGACAAGTGTCTGGTTTGCGTCGCTTTAGTGTTCATTGGTTCAACAAATGGGATTGGCTTGAATATAGTATTGAAAAAGATGCTGCATTTTGTTTTGTATGTTACTTGTTCAAGAATGAAGTTGGTATTAAACCGGGGGGTGATGCATTTGTTGATGGAGGGTTTAGGGCATGGAATAAACCGGAAAGATTTGAGAAGCATGTTGGTGGAATTAAAAGTGCTCATAATCTTGCTTATGAGAAATATGTGAATTTAAGAGATGAAAAAAAGAAATCAATCTTGAATGTGATTGACAATGCAAGTGATGTGATTAAAAGTGAATATTTTATCCGCTTGAAAGCATCTTTATCTTGTTTAAGATTTCTTTTGGGGCAAGGTTTGGCATTTCGTGGACATGATGAAAGTGGGGAGTCATATAATAGGGGTAATTTCCTTGAGCTTTTGAAATGGTTAGGAGAAAAGGTTGAGGAAGTAAGGATACATACTCTTGAAAATGCACCTAAAAATTGTCAAATGACTTCCCCTCCTATTCAAAAGGACATTATTAACTGTTGTGCCAAAGAAACAACTAGGTGCATAATAGAAGAAGTTGGTGATGATTACTTTGCTATATTGGCCGATGAGTCAAGTGATGTGTCCCAAAAAGAACAACTAGCTCTTGTTTTGCGTTTTGTTGATAGAGATAGTGGAAAGGTAATGGAGCGATTTTTAGGCATTGTTCATGTTGCTAATACTACCGCTTTAACTCTTAAAGATGCAATCATGTCTTTACTTGTTGAACATTCATTGAGCCCATCTATGATAAGAGGGCAAGGGTATGATGGAGCTAGCAACATGAAGGGTGAAATAAATGGCCTTAAGACTTTGATTATGAATGATACTCCAAGTGCCTACTATATACATTGTTTTGCTCATCAACTTCAACTAACATTAGTTGCCGTTGCTAAAAAGAATGATAGTTGTGGTTGGCTTTTCGAGATACTTGGAAATTTGTTGAATGTGGTTGGAGTTTCTTGCAAGAGAAGAGAAATGATTCGTCAAGATCAAGCTCAAGAAGTTGCTCGAGCCTTGGATGTTGGGGATATTGTGAGTGGATCGGGTTTAAATCAAGAACTTGGTTTGAGTAGGCCCGGGGATACTCGTTGGAGTTCTCATTACAAGTCACTTTTAAATGCCATCCTCTTATTTCCTACAATTATTAAGGTGCTTGTACAAATTGGGAAGCATGGTGCATCGGAAGATAAGTTCAAAGCTCAAATTGTTTTAGGACAATTAGAGTCATTTGACTTTATTTTTGTTGCTCACTTGATGTTGACTATTTTTGGATACACTAATGATTTGTGTGTTGCTTTGCAAAGAAAGGAGCAAGATATTGTAAATGCCATGGAACTTGTCACTTATACAAAAACGGTGTTGCAAAAAATGAGGGAGCGAGGATGGGATACTCTCTTAAACAAGGTAACTTCATTTTGCACTAAACATGGTGTTGTTATTCCCACTATGGATTCTCTTTATGTTCCTCATGGAAGATCAAGACGTTTTGTTGAAGAAGCAACAAATGAACATCATTTTCGGGTTGGAATTTTCTTAAGACTAATTGATTTGCATCTTCAAGAACTTGATGAACGATTTAATGAGAGGAATATGGAGTTACTATTATGTATGGCTTGTTTAAGTCCTAAAGATAACTTCTCATCCTTTGATAAAGATAAGGTACTTAAACTTGCCTCTTTTTATCCCGAAGAATTTTCAAGCTTTGATTTGATGGCTCTTGAATATCAACTTGATGTATTCATGGAGAATATGCTAAATGATGAAAGATTTCAAGGTTTAAATGACCTTAATTCTCTTTCTATGATGCTTGTTAAAACCAATAAGCATAAGACTTTTCCTCTTATTCATTTGCTTATCAAGTTGATGTTGATTCTTCCCGTTGCCACGGCAAGTGTTGAAAGAGTGTTTTCTGCAATGACATGTGTCAAAAACAAGTTGCGAAATAGCATGGGTGATCAACTTATGAATGATTGTTTGGTCACTTTTATTGAGAAGGATGTCTTCTTACGAGTTTCCGACGAAAAGATTATTGATCGATTTCAAAGTATGAAGACTCGAAGAATGAACTTGTAATTTTAATGTAATGTTTATGTAATTTTTTTCATCATTTTGAATTGTATGACTAAGTATATATTTGTATTTTGAAATTTTAATATTAAGTATTAACCAATTTGTGTGTGAGTTTTTTTTTTGTTTTTATTTTTTGTTAAGCTTTTCGTAAGTTAAGCATTTTGTCCCCCCAAGTTGAAAATCCTGGCTCCGCCACTGTTATTAATTGTTATGACTAGTTGGCCATGTGATGATAATCATATTGGGATTATAGTTGTAAAGGCTATGTAACCTATGTGTTTTCCTATAATGAGAAAATGTCTTGCCTAAACCCTAATTAATAAAGAGGGCTTACCCTTAATTATTTAGTCTGTGTATTAAAAAGAGTGGTCCCAAACAAAGAAAAAAACCTTATAGAGAAAGTGTCACCCAACTTAATTAACAGCTTTTTCCTTAGAATTATTGTGTATTGTAAATCACTAAATTGTTATACAAAATTAAAGTACAGTACAGCTACTTTGAGCTACTTTGTTGTTGATAAGAACCTAAGGTTAAGGATTAATGGGGTCTTTGTGGTTGTGGCAATTTCCAACGCAGCCCCCTCCACCCAATCCTGATAACTATCACTTCATCTTCATATGTTGTTGTCAATTTGCCACATTATGTCTCCGATTATGTAATTTATATCATTTTCGATTTTCAGTTTTCCTGACTTTTACTTATCTTATTACTTGTTTATGAAATAAAAATAACACTATTATAGAAAGTCTTTTTTACTTGTGCACATCAGATTATCAATTGTCACCGTAACATTTATTATAAAATGTAGGGATCATCAAAATAGATGACATTTAAGAGGAACTTTGATTATGGAAGAATTAATATACAAATAAAGGTGTACTAGATATATGTGTCAAAAAAAAAAGGTGTACTAGATATAAAGTTTCAAGCACACAAGGGTCAAAACTCCAAGTTAAGCTATTACATGTACTATTTAAAGACATTATTACCCTAATCTAAACATTTAGACATTTTTTTATTTGGAAAAAGAAAGACTAATTCTTTTTTACCTGGATTACATATTTGCCAAAAAAAAAAAACAAATACCGTATATTTTTTTTTTAATTTTTTTTTTTGGAGTTGTATATATATAAATGTATGCACATGCATTGCATGTGGTGGTGCCTCGTATGATTAAAAACGAAGGGCATAGGATTCTATTGTATGACCTAAATAAAAATTGTTTACGGAAAACAAAACAATAGATTATTCATTTATGACCATATATTCCGATCTTAACATTATTTTGGTACAAATCAACAAAGATATACTAGTGTTATACATAAGTACTAATATTTATATTATACTCATATTTGATCTTAAGAGTTTGTCTTAATTTTCTTTTTTATCATCACTTTTAATTTGTCTAATTTTGTTTTAACAATTACTTGTATCATTGTATGCATTTCTAAACTCCCATTCATAACATTTTGTACGTGTCTCACTAATTAACATCTATAAATAATTATTTAAAAAACCTTGTACGGAGTATCACGAGTATGTTGATACGAGTAATTATTAGTTGACACGTTTTTAATGTATAACTATGATTATCTTCTAATGATCAATGAGATAAAATTATATAAGAAATTAATTAATATTTTGAATATATACTCACTAAAAGAAATCTAACATATTTTACATGATTGTTAAAATACATTTATACTCATTTAAAAGTGTCTAAGTTAAAATACAATAACTAATTTGAAACAAAAGAAAAGATATAACATCATATAAGTATATACTACCTCAGTTTCTTATTATGTGCAACAAAGGAATATTTTATGTCTCACAAATAATACCCCTTTGTTGCACATAATATGAAACGGAGGTAGTATTTAGCTGTGAGGTAGAAGTGATAGAATAGTGACATTGGTCCCGTCTCGTGTGATCATGTCCATGAGATTTTAGGGATCAAACATCGCCAGACTTGATCATTTAAAGGATTTCCCTTATCCCCAAAGATTATTTACTTCATTGGTATAATATGGCACATGCAAAGGGAAAGGGCGAGAGAGCCAAAAAGGAGGGTTGGAAACTTGGAGTCACCATAAAAACCTACATTCTCGTATGTGTATGGATTCCAGTTTTCCACGTGCTGTGGGAAAATCAAATTTTGGGCCATCAACCAATTATGAGACAAAACTATTTTGGAATTTGTACTTCAACCAAATTTATACATGATGAAAAAGACCATAAATTATGGTGAACGCTACATATACAATTATAATATTTGTATTCTATTTACTATAATACCAGTAATACATACTTGATACTTCATATAACTTTTTGATATGTAGTATTCCTACTTTCGTTTTTAAAATGTTAATTTTTTTTTCTTTTTATTTTTTTTATTTTTTCCTTTTTTAACTATATATGAAGTATATACTAACTTTAATTTGACAATATGTTTTTATTAATGTATAAAAACAATATTGTTATATAAGTATTAATATAAAACTTTATATTATCAACCTTTTTATATTGTTTATTGATATTTAATTAGATAGCTAATATTAAATTAGTATATTAACATGTGTGTAATTAAGTTTAACTATTTTAATTATTCAGAAACATAGGAAAGATTATAGATAAGCCATAAAGTCATACACATATATGAGGGCGCAAAAAGGGATAGATTATTAATGTGTTTCCTAGAGCGCCACCATATTCGATGCTAGCTCCTTAATGTATATGTATACAATCTTCATGCTTTGGGATGTACAATTGTGGACGACAATACTAGTATGATGATGACAACGTATTACCTAAACTTTTGATAAATAAACAACAATTTGCTACCAACTCTATGCAAAGTTGCAAACCATTCTACAATGACTAGGTTTAATAGGATTATTAGACGGAGGGAGTATTCATAAAGGATATTATAGCATTTACTTTGATGTATACTTTTAACAAAATTACTTATTATTATTATTATTGTTATTATTATTATAAGCTGTCCTTTTAATGCGAAAATCATAAAAAGCAATATTTGTTGAACGAAGAAAATATTAAATAAATCATCATCCACTTCATCTAATTAGAACGTAATTAACAACTAATCTGATAGTGATCTCAATACTTAAGTTCGCAGTTCATTGCAAAGTGCAATGGCAGGTTAATGGTCCACCTATCTAGGCATCTAGCTAGCTAAGCTCTATTATATAATTAAATCTATCAAAAATGATTTATATTTTAATAATGCATGACGAAAAGATCGACAAGAAAGGAATACTTTAGCAATAAATGAAATCGATCGAGCTGCTTTTGTTTGCCAATACAAATCTATCTATCAATGACAATTGACAAGATATAAAATTGATGTTAGTTAGAACTATATTTTTTTTTTTATGAAAACCATGTAAATGAGAGGCCTTCAACCCTTCATGTTGATTTTGTCTTGTGAGGTCATACCGTTTTATTCAACAATATTTGACACAATTTAATCAAATTAATTTTTACAATTAAAATAAATCTAATACACTTTCACGAATAAGTTAATTATATACTTGTATTGGAGAGTTGATGTGCCTATTATTTCTAGAACGATTTAAGTCTACTTTAAAGGCTTTAAAAAGTTATTTAACGCCATGCAAATGCTAAATAGTCTGACATGACTCATTGATGGTGAATAATAAAATACTGTTGATATAATTTTCTATGATTATTATTTACAGAAATGTCATTTGATTTACATAATAAGTTGATCAAAATGATGAATTGGGGGAACCTCCATTAGGTACTTATTCAATAAGTTATGTCATACTAGGTGTGTTTTTCGCAAAATTATTATTAGGTACAATCCTACGGATAGTAAAGAAATTATATTTTGTCAAATATATTTAATCAACTTCAAATATTCGTATGAGATGATACAAAACACTAATACATACTTATATTTATAACTACGGAATACTTATAATATAGTTCGTACTTATGCTAACTCGGAGAATCGCCCGAACTCAAATACCAATTTTGGTACTTGTAGACTTGTAGTAAAAAGGATGGAAACCAAACACTGCCTAAAAAGCATGAGAGACAGGTTGGAGGTCTTAGAGGCCCACATGTTGATTCAGACCCTTAAGTTTGGGACAAAATACATTGAAAATTATTGATACAAAAAAACCTTTTTTTTTTCCTTTCTTTTTCCTCTTCACTTTACCTTTGACCCTCTCATCTCTTAGAGTTAGAGTTGATGGTTGCCCACAAACACCAAACTCTCTCCCAACAATAATCAACAACACCCTTTCCTCTTCTTCACATTCTCTTTTTATCTTTCTCTACAATTTTATCAATCACCTTTTTCTGCACCCAAAACCCTAAAGTTTTGATCTTTGCAACACTGGTAAGTTTTTTAGTATCTGGGTTTTTGGGGTTTCTTCCTTTTTTGTTTAATTGTCATTGGTTTTTTATTTTTTTATTTTTTGGGGGTGTTATTAGGTCTTGGATCCAATTTTACAATAAAGTTTTTGATCAATTTTAGTGGGTCTATTGTGATTGATGGGATCTATACATGCTTTTTGATTGACCCTTTTGTTTGCTTATGATTTTGATTACTCTCTTTACTTTTATATATTTTTTCTTTTTTAATTTCTCAATCAATTTGCTCTTATCTGCTTGTTAATTGTCCTTTTATGATCACTTTGAGCCATTACTTGGCCCGGCATTTATACTGACTGATCAATTTGTCTTGCTCTTGGACAATTGCTAATGTACCTTTCTTTTGGGGGGAATGAACTCGTTTTTTGGTTGTTGAGGTAACTGTGTTTGCAATTATTGTGTTATTTTTCGGGTTTGGGTTCGGTTTCGTTTTGATTCTTTTTTGTTATCTGGGCGTTGTGATTTTTTGATCCGCTCTAGTATGCATTGAAAGAATGAAGGGTGCTTTTAGATTGTAAGAAACTGTGGGAAAACAAGATTTTGAAGGATGATCTTCAATTTTATAGTATATTGGCAGATTACTAGCATATGTTCATTATTCAATACATGTTAATTTATGGGTTTTTAGAGGGGATAATTGTGAAATTAGTAGCTTGTTGATCCATATACTGAAGGTATTTTGTAGATTACTTATATGGTTGTGCTGAAACATTTTGGTTGACTTGTTTCAGACACAAGCCTTGATATTTATGGAGCTAGAAGTGGGAGATTATGGAACTGCAGTTGGTGGGCTTGATGGATTGAAATGATTGGCTTAGTGATGGGTATGCAGAATTGTTTCCATTTATCTTGTCTGTATAAGTGTATATTTATCTAAATGTCGTCAAAACCGAGTGCGAGAACTTCTCCGGATAGGCTGAGGAAAGCCTCTGGTTCTCAGTCTCTTGAAGGGAATACTCGTAGGCCTTCACCTACGCCACCAACGAATAAGCCTAGTAGAACAGAACCATTTACTCCAAATAGGATACCTCCATCTATGCAAAATTTTTCATCAAAGCAAGTTGTGAGTGATAGTGTAGCTGAGAAGAAGTTGTTACATGCTAATCAAAAGGAATCTAGCAATGATTTAGCTGATAAATTTGGTCCTAGTTTGTCTTTGGCTGATGACAAGCTAGTTCCACCTGGGTCATCTGCTCAAAGTATCGGGACTAGAGGATCGGTAGAATTTGGTTCTGAGGATGAGAAGAAAACATCAGAGCAAGGAGTTGGATTATCTTCTGCAAAAGTTAGCGATGGCGCAGGAAGTCTTGCGAAGACAAGTGGTAGCGCAAAGACTAGTGGCCGGGCTGAATTTGTTGAGAGTGGAAAGAGTAGTATGTACAGAGCTAGCACAAGCAGCGATGTGAGTGATGAAAGTACTTGTAGCAGTTTAAGTAGTGTCAACAAACCGCACAAATCACAAGACTTGAGGTGGGAAGCCATCCAGGCTGTCCGTGCACGAGATGGAGCCTTGGGATTAAACCACTTCAGGCTTCTGAAGAGGTTGGGATGCGGTGATATAGGGAGTGTCTATCTGTCGGAGCTAACTGGTACGAAATGTTACTTTGCAATGAAGGTTATGGACAAGGCATCTCTTGCAAGTCGTAAGAAGTTGCTCAGGGCGCAAACAGAGAGAGAAATCTTGCAGTCCCTGGACCACCCCTTCCTGCCAACTCTTTATACTCACTTTGAGACAGAGAAATTTTCATGCTTAGTCATGGAGTTCTGCCCTGGAGGCGACTTGCACACTCTCCGGCAAAGACAGCCTGGGAAGTATTTTACTGAGCAAGCTGTAAAGTAAGATTTTTAGTCCTTTTGCCTATCTGCTTGTCATTTTTTGCATGATGGATTATCTTTCTGAAAATCTCTTGAAGCTTTATTTTAGTTCATGTATGCTGAATGGTAATCCTTTTCAACTTTCATTTGCATCTTCCTCTTTACCTGGGAAGATTTTGTGTGTCAGCTGCAGTGTAACTGCTCCTTTTTTATTTTACCAATGACACTGTTCTAAATTTTTAATATGCCCTGCATGTACTACTTATTTACACGTCTAAGGGGCCTAATCAAACACAATCTTTTTGAAGTTAGAAACCAAAATCTAGATGCGTGCAATTTATGTGTTCAATTGAATCTAGAGTTGTTGCAACAATGAAGTTAAGTTTGTTCATTTAGAGTGACATTAAAAATTATACTTGTAGAAGTTATACCCAAATTTTATAGCATGGAATACGGGTTTTTGTTAAGTTATGTTGCCACGCCTTATAGGCTCAGTCATGGATTTGATTAACTGCTGTATTTTATGCTTGGTGACTTCTGATTGCTGATATCCTGCGGTGATTGAAATTCTTATGATGTACTAGTATATAAGAATTTTTGAAAAGGGCATTCAGATACCTTTTCACTGTAATGGAAGGTGAAGGTGTATTTGAGTATTTCAAAATCACACTGATGAATAAATTAAACCACCCAGAACTGGCTAATCCACGCTAATCTTTTTCCAAGTGTACCTTCTATGGTTGTGTTTGATTTTCATGTACAAAAATTGTGGCATTTTTTTTTTCCTCTCAATACCATGTCCTCAATCCTCATACTTAATGAACAAATGCTGTCAAAATTAGAGTTTTTTTCTTTGATAATTATTTATTTTCTTAAAAATATAAAAACGCGTTCTTGTATATGAATATTATGAAATTAATGTCTTTTAGTATTCACTTTTGAAGAATTTACAATCTTCAGATAGTGCTGCATCTTATGACAAAATGCAAGGATGTTCAGGGTTTATGGTTCAATGCAAAACTACTATAGTTTGCTTCCTTACATATAGTCTAGGTAGTTTGCACTAGATTGTTTCATTAGGTCTAAAAGACCCAATCTACTCTGTATTGGTGCTAGTCAAGCAGTTGATGGTGTAATGTATGCTTTTGCATATCAAGATAGAGAAATCCAGGTAACATATATGTATGTCTAGGATAGGCTACTAAAGGGGGTGTTTGGGGCTTTTGGAATGGGGTGGAATGGTGTTATATCCATTCCAATGTTTGGTTGGAAATTTTATGCTATGGAACCTCATACAATTAGTATCTAATTCTACTCCAACCTCATACAATCTCATACCCACTTCACCCCCTAAATTCTAAATCCACTGTAGACACAAACCCTAACTAAATTCAAATTCATTCCAAGGTAAACCAAATCAATTTAACATAGTTTGAGGTTCTCAATCCAGGCCACCATAGTAAGGGTTCTCAATCCACTCCATTTGATTTTGTTAAACCAAACAACTCCTATGGTCAACTTTGGGAAAAAAAATAATGACAAGAGTAATGGCGGGAAAGAGGTGAATACATTGATGTAGTAGAACTTAAGAACTTATATAGTTCTTACATTGATGTAATGGCAGGACTTCTTGTTGTATATTGTGTTGGTTCTATAGTTTTATGGGATATAGATTCCGTATCTGCAATGAGGAAAAAGGTGCATCTCATGATGCAAGAACAAATATATGTTTGCTGAATGGCATTTATGCAAGTGAAACTGACAATTCCAGGCATTGGAAGAACAAGAACCACTTTTATTTTTCAGAAACACTGGTCCATTTTTTTTGTTAATTGAGATATGCTAATGATCTAGCTCTTCAGAAATCAATAGAGATAGATAGGTGATTGTTGAATATTTTGCTCTTGATGAACTTCTTGTCCCTATTCTGCATAAACAGGGTATTACTGGTTTGTGGATTTGATGGTTTTTATGACCTGTCTTTGGCCATAAGCTTTGCACTTCAACCCTATCTTCTCTGAGCTTGAGCAGAGCTAGCTGCATAACTCAGATCCTGTGAGGTGTGTGGGCACCTTATGTAAGCTGGGTCCCTTAGTCTAATATAAATATTCTTGGTTTGATTTGCTTGATCCGAGTAGAATAAGTATCAGCAAATTTCATCACAAACGAGCTTTGCCTGAATTTGGTCAAGTGCTGTGCTACATTAAGTCCTCACAAATAAAATGTGAACTAGGTTCCTTATTTAGAACTAGTTTCTTGATCTGAGGTGGGAATAGAGGCAATATGCTTATTAGTCACTCATACAAACATTGCTAAGGTTAAAGATGCTTTAACCAGCCTGAGCTGGAGAAGCGCTTAGGGTCATTACAGAAGTAATTTGGTTTAGTTTGCTCAATTAGGCTAAATCATGCATCTATGTCCAGATTTCTGATGTGATGACGATGAAAAAAATTGATGATATATATTTCTTGTTTGAATATACTAACCTCACAAGAATTGTTAGACACGAAAAATTTAATGGTATAATAACATTACGATCTCCTGAATATTGAAGTACCAAAGCGGTAATATAAAAATGGTTCCTAGTGAACAAAAAAGTTTGGGTATCCCCATATTTCTGTAGATGTTATATTGCACATACTTTACTACTTGAAGGGAGGGATCTATGACACGCCATTTAGCCTGTGTTTTGAATACAATGTCAATTGCATTTGCAGCTCACAAACGTGCTTAGTCAGAATGTTGATGGTTCATGAAACATTTTCTCTTGTAGTTTGCTGTCCAAATATGATAGTGTAAACATTCCAGGCATCAATTCTTATCATTTTTTTTTTTGTTACATCTTTAACTGCTTCTAATCACCATGTTTATAATGAAAATGGGTGAAGTTATGTTTTAACTATAATCCTACCTTGTAATTTAGTCCTAGTTTACGACATTATGAGTGACTGAGTGTCTGCTGAGAATTGAGTATATGTTTGAAAGTGAAATTATTCAAGATTTCTAATTGAACTCCTGACCATTGATTTAACCTATATGCTTATTCTCTACATTATCATGTTGACTTACAGGTTTTATGTAGCAGAAGTCCTCCTAGCTATGGAATACCTTCATATGCTTGGGATTATTTACCGTGACCTCAAACCAGAAAACGTCCTGGTGAGGGAAGATGGTCATATTATGCTCTCTGACTTTGATCTTTCACTTCGGTGTGCTGTAAGCCCCACACTTGTCAAGTCAGCAGCCGTTGAGAACGAAGGCTTAAAGAAGAGCTCTGGTTATTGTGTACAGCCTGCCTGCATTGAACCCTCTTGTATTCAGCCATCATGCGTTGCCCCCACAACGTGTTTTACTCCCAGACTCTTTTCTAGCAAATCCAAAAAAGAGAAGAAATCTAAAACAAAAAACGAAGTTGGCAACCAAGTTAGCCCACTACCTGAGCTCATTGCAGAACCCACAAGTGCCCGATCAATGTCGTTTGTTGGGACCCATGAGTACCTGGCTCCGGAAATCATCAAAGGTGAGGGACATGGTAGCGCGGTTGATTGGTGGACTTTTGGGATATTTTTGTATGAACTCTTGTTTGGAAAGACACCATTTAAGGGATCGGGGAATCGAGCAACCCTCTTCAACGTCGTTGGGCAGCCTTTGCGGTTCCCAGAGTCACCCGCTGTCAGTTTTCAGGCAAGGGATCTGATCAGAGGCTTGTTAGTGAAGGAACCGCAGCATAGGTTGGCCTACAAACGAGGAGCAACAGAGATTAAGCAACATCCCTTCTTTGAAGGTGTAAATTGGGCTTTGATCCGGTGTGCCAGCCCTCCAGAAATACCAAGGCCAGTGGAGTTTGAGCGAATTCGCGTTCCTCCTGCGTCATCAAGCGAGAAAGCTGCTATGGCTGTCGGTATGCCGGACCAGAAAGGGTCCGATAATTATTTGGAATTTGATTTCTTTTAAATTATTTAGCCCATTGCTGTTTGATGTTAAAAATTGAGAGAAGATGTAGAGTTGGCTGAAAACACTACAGGTATGATGTCAACAGATTATGAACTTTAGGTATTTTTTTTCTTTTTTTCATGTGGTTTATATTTTGATCATATGTTTGTTTGACATTGACAAAGGGTTGCATAATTAGAGTGGCAGAAGTTCAATGTATTTTCAGTGAAATTGAAGTGCTCAAATTTCTTTCTTTTTCTTGCTATAGTTGTATAACTATAATAATCACTTTCTCCCTCCCCCGCCCCCTCCTATTTTGAACAAACTTGCTGCATTTAGTTGTTCGAGCATTATACGAAGTATTAGATATCGATTCCGGTTCTTTTCATGTGAAAATATGTTGTTCTATTATCAACGTCTTCCATGTTTCGTCATCTGAATACATCTGCTGGGTAATTTTTGGTTGGTTGCCTTTTGAAAGGCGTTATGTCTTACTTTAGTTGGTTTCCTTATGAAAGGTGTGATGTATACCTTAATGTACCTCAAGTTAGTCAAGTAACATTATTATTTCAAAATTTCGCATGGTCTAATATGAATTTGTGTAATTTTTGTAAGAAAGTTGTCATTATACAAAGTAATTTTTACAGTTATGCTTACTCTAGGCCTCCTGGGTCAAACGTGTTTTTAGTCTTAATTTTCTAAGAGCTTTCATTACCACTGTACTGTTCTCTGGACTCTGGTATTTGATTTTGGCTTGAGACTTTTTATGCAATTATGCATAGAGCTGTCAAAAGTTGACCCGACCTGAAATACCGATTCAAATCCGATTATTAACCGACCCATCTAAACCCAAAAAATGGTGACCCAAACCCGACTTGACCCGACCTGAAACCAAACCTAAACCCGAGTTGACCCGAACCCGAACATGAAATGACCTGGATATGACCCGACCCGAATGTAACCCGTAAATTATTGACCTGAACTGAACCCGACTTGAACCGAAATTGACCCAAACCCGTTTTAACCCGTTAAAATTTGAATTTAACCCGACTTGTTACTAACTTGACTTGAATTCAACCCGACCTGTTCCTAACCCAACCCGAATTTAATCCAACCTTTTACAAACCCGTCTCGAAATCAACCCGACTTGTTATTGACCTGACCCAAATTCAACCCGACTTGTTTTTTACTCGACCCGAATTTTAGCAGGCCTATTACTAACCCGACCCAAAAATACAACCCGATCTGTTACTAACCTGACCCAAAATCAACACGACTTGTTATTGACCCAACCTAAATTCAACCTAAATTAATCCTAACTCGATTTCAAATCACCTTAAATGCTATTTAGACCACCTTATTACTGTTGATCAAAGCATTTTGTCTAGGGAGACCAAGTCGGTCCAGGCCAGCAAAAGAAAGGAGCATCATCCTCAAATTTAAGAGTTAAATATAGTATATATTTGTTGTATGGTCAAAGGAGATAATTATCTTCTTAAATTATAAATTATATTTCCCTAGTATATTGCTATATATATTATATTCAAAGGAAATAATTAGCTTGATAAAAATGATAATTATCTATTTATAGTTAGTTGAACCTGAATATGACCTGACTTGGAAATGACCCGACTTGATTGTAACCTGCAAATTATTGACTTGAACATAACCCGACTTGACTCCGAGAATGACCCGACTTGGAAATGACCCAACTTGATTATAACCCTCAAATTATTGACTTGAACCGAACCCGACTTGGACCCGAGAATGGCTCGACTTAAAAATGAGCCGACCTGATTATTACCCGCAAATTATTGACTTGAACCGAACCAGACTCAAACCCGAGAATGACCTGACCTGATTCTAACTCGCATATCATTGACTTGAATCGAACCTGACTCGAACCCGAGAATTACCCTAACCCGTAAAACCCGACCCAAATGTCACCCGACCTGTTAATAACCCGACCTAAACCCAACCCAAACCCCATAAAAAGTATGACCCAACATGACCCGACTCAAGCATGACCCAACCAGAACTCGACCCGCATAGGTTGTGAAATTAATCTGAATCGACTCGACCCAAACCTGACCCGTTTACCCGAATTGAAAGCTCTACCCGAAACATCCAAAATTTCTCAAAAGTGTGGATATTAGCCTTCAATTTTGGAATTTTTTTGACCGGAAATAAAAATTGCCGAAATGTTACCATGGTACCTGATAACCTTTGGGAGTCCAATTGATTGGGTGGATCCATTCAATTTGCCTTTAAAAGGCCAATTTACCAATTTACAACGTACACTGATTTCATTAATTCAAGTCTACCACGAAAATTTATGACAACATATAATGATCATATATGATTCCAAACGGGATTATATAACTCCGAGATGTATCCCCTAAAATCTCAAGCCTTTTCGACACGGGGCCCCGAAACCTCCAAAATTTCTCAAAAAGCGTGGATATTAGCCTTCAATTTTGAAATTTTTTGACTTTATTTCGCCCGGAAATAAAAATTGCCGAAAGGTTTACCATGGTCCCTAATATCCTATGGGAGTCCAATTGGGTGGGTGGAACCATCCAATTTGCCATTTAACGGCCAATTTACCGACTTACAACTTGCACCGATTTCATTAATTCAAGCCTACCACGAACATTTATGACAACATATAATGATCATATATGGTTCCAAACGGCATTATATGACCCTGAGATTTATCTCCTAAAATCTCAAGACTTTTCGACACCTAGCCCCGAAACCTTCAAAATTTCTCAAAAAGCATGGATATTAGCCTTCAATTTTGGATTTTTTTGACTTTTTTTCGCATAGAAATAAAAATTGCCGAATCGTATACCATAGTCCCTAATACCCCCTGGGAGTCCAATTGGTCCCTAATACCCCCGGGAGTCCAATTGGGTGGGTGGAACCATCCAATTTGCCTTTAAACAACCAATTTATCGATTTACATGTTACAACTTGCACCGATTTCATTAACTCAAACCTACCACGAACACTTATGCCAACAAATAATGATTACATATGGTTCCAAATAACATTATATGACCCCGAGATGTATTCTCTAGAATTTCAAGACTTTTACCGAGCCCCTAAGACTCTAAATTTTTCAAAAAGCGTGGATATTCGCCTTCAATTTTTAAATTTTTTGACTTTTTTTTTGTCCATAAATAAGAATTGTCGAAATGTTTTCCATGGACTATAATACCCTCTCTGAGTCCAATTGGGTAGGTGGAACCATCCAATTTTCCTTTAAACGACCAATTTATCGATTTACAACTTGCACCGATTTCATTAATTCAAGCATGCCACGAACATTCATGAAAAATATAATGATCATATATGGTTCCAAACAGCATTATATGACCCCAAGATGTATCCCCTAAAATTTCAACACTTTTTGACACCGGGTCCCGAAACCTCCAAATTTTCTCAAAAAGCGTTGATATTAGTCTCCAATTTTGGAATTTTTAGACTTTTTTTTGCCTAAAAATAAAAATTCCCAAAATGTTTACCATGGTCCCTTATACCTTTCGGGAGTCCAATTGGGTGGGTGGAACCATCCAATTTGTCTTTAAATGACCTATTTACCGGTTTATAACTTGCACCGATTTCATTAATTCAAGCCTACCACGAACATTTATGACAACAAATAATGATCATATAAGGTTCCAAACAGTATTATATGACCCCGAGATGTATCCCATAGAATTTAAACACTTTTCGACACCAGGCTTCGAAACCTCCAAAATATCTCAAAAAGCGTGGATATTAGCCTTCAGTTTTTGAATTTTTTGACTTTTTTCGCTCGAAAATAAAAATTACCGAAATATTTACCATGGTCCTTAATACCATCCGGGAGTCCCATTGGGTGGGTGGAACCATCCAATTTACCTTTAAACGACCAATTTACCGGTTTACAACTTGCATCGATTTCATTAACTAATGCCTACCACGAACATTTATGACAACAAATAATGATCATATAGTGTTCCAAACATCATTATATGACCCTAAGATGTATCCCCTAAAATTTCAAGACTTTTCGACACCGGGTCCCGAAACCTCCAAAATTTCTCAAAAAGCGTGGATATTAGTCTTCAATTTTGGAATTTTTAGACTTTTTTTTACCCAAAATTAAAAATTCCCGAAATGTTTACCATGGTCCCTTATATCCTCTGAGAGTCCAATTGGGTTGGTGAAACCATCCATTTTGCCTTTAAACGGCCAATTTAATTACCGGTTTACAACTTTCACGGATTTCATTAACTCAAGCCTACTACGAACATTTATGACAACATATAATGATCATATATGGTTTCAAGCGGCATTATATGACACCGAGATGTATCCCCTAAAATATTAATAATTTTCTACACCAGGCCCCAAAACCTCTAAAATTTTTTAAAAACGTGGATATTAACTTCAATTTTGAATTTTTTTTTATTTTTTTCGCTGGGAAATAAAAAATTGCCGAAATGTTTACCCTGTTCCCTAATACCTTCCAGGAGTGCAATAAGGTGGGCGATGGAACCATCCAATTTGCCTTTAAACGACCAATTTACCGGTTTACAATTTGCATCGATTTCATTAATTCAAGCCTACCACGAACATTTATGACAACAAATAATGATCAAATATGGTTCCAAACGGCGTTATATGACCTCGAGATGTATCCCATAGAATTTCAAGACTTTTCGACACCGGGCCCTGAAACCTCCAAAATTTCTCAAAAAGCGTATACATTAGCCTTCAATTTTGGAAAATTTTGACTTTTTACGCCAGAAAATAAAAATTGTTGAAATATTTACCATGGTCCCTAATATCCTCCGGTAGTCCAATTGGGTGGGTGGAACCATCCAATTTGCCTTTAAACGGTCAATTTACCGATTTACAACTTGCACCGATTTCATTAACTTAAGCCTACCCTGAACATTTATGACAACAAATAGTGATCATATATGGTTCCAAATGAAATTATATGAGTCTGAGATGTATTCCCTAGAATCTCAAGACTTTTCGATACCAGGCCCCGAAACCTCCAAAATGAAAAAGCGTGGATATTAGCCTTAAATTTTGGAAATTTTTTTGACTTTTTTTCGCCGGAAAATAATAATTGCCGAAATGTTTACCATGGTTTCTAATATCATTCGTGAGTCCAATTGGGTGGGTGGAACCATCCAATTTTCCTATAAACGGCCTATTTACCAGTTTATAACTTGCACCGATTCATCAACTCAAGCTTACC